TGATGCTAAACCGTTATGTCATTGTTGACATGACATTACACAAAAATGCCCGATTTTTCGAAAAAAAAATAAAAAAGAAACTTTCCACGGCTAAGATTTCGTATCAACCGATAGTTTTTTTCCACAGTTCAAAACATTATTGTCCGGACAGTTTTTTTGAGATGGATGAAATTTGGCGTTAACCGAAGATAAAGATGCAAGGTAGTATTCTCTTCCCATCCACGTTTCATTCATGCGCCTTGGATGTGAGAGCTTAGCTTGTTGTGGCGAGGTATGAAGTTTGCTTATTAATTGATCTAATGCACGTGCCAGAGAGCAACGCTATTTTACCCCGAGCGCATTACAATAGTTCCATTTCGGCGATACTCTCAAAATGGAAAGCCCGACCCTAGACCGAAATGTCCTTTGAGGATTGATTTGTAATTGGGTAAGTTTTTTTTTCTGCAAGCGGATCGCCGCTAAAAATTGGTTGACAATATTTTCGTTGCCAGCATCACTCCATACGACAAGAGCTCTCATCGCATACGTTCTCTGATCCCTGAAAACAATTGAAACCGGGAGGATGCAACACTATTTGCGACTTTCTACGTAGGTATTTCCATAACGTAAAACACACTCCCTTTCCAATAATGGAGCTAAGCGTTCCCCCCTCCCCCCCAGGATTTTATTACGCAACGAACATCGTCCACTCTTCAAAGTGCTGTCAATATTGCATATCAAAAATCAACATATCTGTTGATGTGAATAATTTTTTTCCGTCACATTTGGTCACATGATCAAAGGTGGCTATGACCTAAGCTACTTTATTACACAAAGTAGTGAAATACTGAGGAGAGAAAACAAAAAATTGTAAGACATCTCTCACTGAGAGAGAGAGAGAGCGAGCGAAAGACTGCTCTCGGTTGAGGGCTTCGCACAAAAATTTTCAAATTGTAAAACCAAATTCGGTAAATCAACATAGAGTTTTCACACCTTATACAACCTATATAATCAAGAATGTCAGGATCAGGAGCTTCAGGAAACAAATTCCGTATGTCAGTATGTGCCCCTCCATCCATGTTGCTCGAAATCGTTATCGAGATATTACTTCAAATTGGCGTGTGATCGTCTGATGTGAAAAAATTTTGAATATGTTTTTTAAGTTGAGGAGCCATTCAGCGTTTTGGACAAATAGCCATGGATTAGAGAATCAGGAATCATTGGGCCTCGTTTAGGGACATGTCAATGTATGGCTTGTGTGCCAGCGTAGCGTCAGGGGTAGTCCAAGATATGAATTACATATACCACAAAGCAATCCATGAAACTAGTGCATCATATTCATGCCATGGCATACATCACATGTTCACGCCAAAATTTGAAGCTAATCAATAAATGCACAATTTACTAACAATTCATTTTTATTTAGTTGGCTTTGCCAGTTGGTGCCGTTATGAACTGTGCCGATAACTCTGGTGCTAGAAACCTTTACGTCTTGGCCGTTAAAGGTACTGGTGCCAGATTGAACAGATTGCCAGCTGCTTCAGCTGGTGATATGGTCATGGCTACCGTTAAGAAGGGTAAACCAGAATTGAGAAAGAAGGTTATGCCAGCTATCGTTGTCAGACAAGCTAAGCCATGGAGAAGAAGAGATGGTGTCTACTTGTACTTTGAAGATAACGCTGGTGTTATTGTCAACCCAAAGGGTGAAATGAAAGGTTCTGCTATCACTGGTCCAGTTGCTAAGGAATGTGCTGATTTGTGGCCACGTATCGCATCTAACTCAGGTGTTGTTGTTTAAATGTAAAGAGAGTTATATATATATATAATGTTTTAATGCATTCTTTGAAGTAATCTTTTTATTGATTGGTTTTATATATGTAGTCTACTTATTCTCACCAACAACAATGTTGATATCGCCGTTGGCCAATGGAGGTTGGGCTTGTTCAGCTAGAGCGCTTTTTAGTGTAGACACCTCATCTGCCGAGAAGTTCCTTTGCACGTTTGGATGTAGAGAGCCATCCCCTTTCTGAGTGACATTGTACGTTACCAGATCGTCGTTTGCATGGTCAACAGGTTGATTGAGATCACCGTTTAAGGCCAGGGGCTGTAGATTTTTTTGACCCAGTTGGTCCTGGTTCGATTGCAGCTGTGGCTGCGACTGCTGCGGCTGCTGTGGCTGCGATTGTGGAGCCGAATTACCAGCAAACTGAGAAAAGTACGCGGAACCAAATGGCTGCGCAGCTGGGGAAGTACTTAAAATCAGTACAGGTGCTGCTCGAGGAGATGTGGGGAAAAACTGTGGATTCACTTGCTGTCCATTCTGAGATTGCTGCTGACTTACTGGGACACTAGGGGTGATTGTGTAGTACTGTTGTTGTACGGGGTCATAAAACTGTTGTACCTGAGCTCCACCTTGAACGTAGTACGGTACACTACTAGAAGGAGTACCAATATTATTGGAGAAGTGCCCTTGCTGAGGATTACCCCCACTAGTAATCAGCTCTACGGGAATTAGTTGATGAAAAGGCGGTTGCTGCTGATATCTCACTGCAGGCAGTGCGCTTCCTGGCGGTGGTTGTTGTTGCTGATATTGAGCCTGGGTCTGTGGCACGTAATTTGACTGCAGTTGTGTAGTTGTATTTTGCCTCACAGGCTCGTACCCTGTATGACTGGCCAGACTGAGGTTTCGCTTGACACCATCATCCGTTTCAACCGGAGTGATTATTGTTCCATCACTATTTATCATGTGTGCTAGTCTAGGTGACTGATTATTTCTTTGCGAAAAGGTCGATGATAGCCTGTTAGCATTAGCGCTCGATGTAGCTTGAGAAAGTGGACGATGCAAGGTTCCAGTGCTTGTTCTTTGCAAATTTGTTGCATTACTGGTAACTGTTCTCAAAGATCTAGTGGGAGAGCGGATCGATGATGCTCTTGATCCAGCTTTTACCGCAGAAACAGTGTTATTTGGTCTAGCAGGTAAACTTCTAGCCCTCGCAATGGGAGTAGGCAAGCTTGTCAATTTTTTGATGTCGTTGAACCAATCGATCATGTCTTTGTATGAATCTGTGCGAAAAACCCATTTATGAGTTTTGTTCATCAAAGCATTTGCCAGTTTCGATGTCAAAATGAACTTATAAACACCATTAGATTTACCGTCATCTTTCGAATGGTCGCTCACCGTGCACGAGTCCAAAGGTAAAGACATCACAGGATGTGGATCTTTCTTTCTGTCATTGGATTTGAACTCGTGGATGAATGAGCAAGTCAAGACATACCATGCACTGGAATAGTTTTTGAGGAATTTTGATCTACGTTCCAAGTAACCCTCACGCACAGCAACATTCAAATTAGATTCAGCGTTCCGAATTACGAAATCTTGAAGATGTCTTTTTGGTATATCTAAATCAATGAATGTACCATTTTTTACCGAGGAAGTCGTCTGGTTACCCACGGCACTGACGCTGAGATTGTTCGATGGCAAATTCCTCTCGATAAATGCATTCCACTCAAAATTATTCTCCTTGGACAAAAAGCCATTCATAATATTCGGCTCCAAATAGTTGCTGAATGTCGAGTTTTCCTCTCTAATCAACTTGAGAAACAGTGAAACATAACTTTGAATCTCTGTAACAACTATACCTTCCAACTGCTTACCGGCGTTTTGTAAATTGGCGTACGCATCGTAAAGGTAGTTTTCCTCAACCAATTGTCTTTTCAATTGACGATCCAATTTCGTCTTCACCAAAAACGGATCATATTTCCCTTGTTCACCATCAGCATGATGCAAGTTATGGTTGGTGTCTAATTTGTTCGCCCATTCTATCGCTTGATTGTATTGACTTATCAAAGTTTTAGTTTCATTGAGTTCCTTGTTCAAGTTGTTTTTGAAATCGTTTTGCAAATTCTTTATCTCCTTGATTTTCACAACAAGGTCCTTCCTCAATTCTTCCAACTTGGGTATGATAATGGCACTAATTTCCTTGAGTGTTTTGGAAGAATTTGTCACATTCTGCTGGTGATAATGGAATAAAATGTCAGGAACATCCTGAACCGAACCGTTCCCTACGGGTAAAAACGACTTTGTTATAGCTTCCAAATCCTGGCTGGGAGTGTTTGCTGAGTGCCCAGTGTGTGTTGGAGACGATATCGATCTAGCTGTTGATCCAACAGCTTGCTGGAGCCTCGCCTGTTGACGTACAATTTCCTCTTGGACACTAGCATACTCCTTAAAGTAATTGAGCAACTCTCTGATGAATGACCTCCAGGCCACAAACCTATTAGCCATCACCTCCGTTGGGTAGTCGTTATTGCTCAAGAAGCTATAGGGTAGTGCCACTGTGAGCGGATTATGCATGTCATACGGCATTGTTGCGGGTTGCTTCTTGTTGCTACTGCGTTCGGTTGGTCGGTCGAAATTAGTTTGTTTTCAGTAGTGAACAAATGGGAAGAAGCGTACAGTTATTGTCCGTGACTGAATTAACCCTGTTTGCTGACAATAAACTTGTTTGATAACGGTAGTAGTAGATTCTGTTGTGTATATTAGTGTTAGCCAGCCTTTGAAATAGTTGTTTTGTTGGTTGAGTGATTATTTCTGATTCTTTTCTTTTTCTTTTTTTTTTTCTTTGTTTTTTTTGTTCTTCTTCTTGTTTGTTCTCTCTCTGTAACCTCGATTTCTTTGAAACTCAATCTCAATTGTTTACACAAGAGCGCTGGCATTGAAGGAAATTCGGTGAGAGAGTATGTGAACAAAAGAGTACTACAGGGGATGAATGGCACGTTCTAGTCCTATTTGCCATACACGATTTTCCTAGTTAACTGGCTTATCAGCTGTCACATGTTAAGAGAACTAACTCGTCATGAAATTCTTCTCAATCGGGCAAAAAAATAAACATATTCTATGCAACCTGCGCAAAGGCACACCCGCAATTTACTCATACGCTTCGTAGACCTGCACCACATGCAGGGTACTTTCCACGCAGCTAAAAAGTTGGTGCAGGTATTCCGAATTTTTCACAATACTCCTCAGTTTGGTTGTTTTGGAAATACTTTAGATCACCATCATAATCAGCCGGCGCAACTACCTTAAAATTTCCGGGTATGATGAATTTCTGATCATCCATTTGGTTTAATTCCTCCAACTCTTTTGTAACAAGCGGCTCAAACTTTCTAAACTGTGCCTGATCCCTAAGTACAACTCTAGGCTCAAACAGCTCAAATTCAGCTTTGTAGTCCTGTGCGTACTTTTCAATAGCTCGATTGATCGCTATGGCTTGTTTGTCATAGTACAACTCTTTCGAATTCATAGAAGGGTGTGCCTTGCTTTCCGTGATTGGAATCTCTTTCACTTCAAGGTAACTTCGACGAGGACCGTACTTATCCAACGCAAGAAATTGTGTATCGTGTTCCACATGTCCATTGGGTTTGGGTTTTTTCGGATTCTGAGTATCACCATCACTGGATTCATCCAGACTATCCATATCCAAAGATATCTCGTTTGCATTTTTTTGGACTTTTGTTTTGTGCTGCGGTTTGTTATGGTTCACACTTGCTTCAAACTTGACGTGTAGATGACCACTAAACCAATATCTTGGCTTCAAATGATGCAATAATACCTTATTCAACGGGCTCCCTAATTGTCCTTTGTTGATGTCTTGAGTGAAAAAAGGCTTTTGCTTCAGAAGTTTCGCCTTGTTGCCGTATTGCTCCACACCCACTGGCCAATCGTGACTCAACACAACATCTGCGTCTCTTTTCAAGTACATTTTCAAAAAGTTTTTCAATTTTTGGTGATAAACACTCCTTATGGAACGTGAATCAAACGGTAGTCTTTCGACGTCAAAGGGCCGGTTCATGTATGTGTGCGGGTTGTAGATACCACTCCATCCGCAAATTGAGAGTCCCTTGTAGAATATACTCCCAAATTCCCCAAGGTAGTATATATTGGGCGCGACCCATCCCCCGTATTTCAATTCCTGTAAATATGACGACGATTCGTGATTGCCACCGATGAATATTGTAAGCACGGGCGCTTTTTTCTCACCAGTGTAGTAGGATTGAAAATCGCCCAAGCGACGATACTTTTCCGGCACATTCAACGCTTGAAAATCAGACTTGTTGCGCAATGCTTGAAAATCGCCACATATCAATAGAAGCTCAGTAGATGCAGGTATTCCCTTGTATATATTATGTAAATCGCCGTGGCAGCATCCCTCAATAGCCACCTTCAATGTCTTCATTGAAAGTTTTACAGAGTAAAACAACCCGGTTTTTTTTTTTTATTTCATTTTTCCCTGCTGCGTCTATATTCTTAAATATATATATACACATATATATATATATAATAGGGGCTTAAAGATTTTTTTTAGAACTTGAAAACGTGTTCCTTGGTGTATCCCAAGTCGGCCAAAGCTCCAGTAACTTCACCTTGATCAGATGGAGACTTCTTGTTACCTGAAATAGCATCGTACAAACCTGGAGGTCCACAGACAAAGATTTTGGTGTCGGGGCTTGGCTTGTCCAAATTCTTTTGTAAAAAGTCCTTAGTAATGAAGCCCTCTACTCCGTCAAAGTCTTTTCCCTTCTTGTCGTTGACAAAGTAAGTAATTTTGACTTGCTCCTTGTTGTTCTTGGCAATTTCATCAAGTCTATCTTTGATCAAAATGTCATCAGGAGAAAGGTTACCGTAGAACAATTGAACTTTGGTCTTGTCTTCGGGGTTTGAGGTGATTGCATGCAACAATTGGTACAATGGAGTGATACCTGAACCACCACCGATCAAAGCAATCGATTTGAATTGGTTTGGTTCCCACTTCCACTTGACAAATGGACCTTTGAATGACAACGTTTCACCTTCCTTCAAGTCGTGAATATGGCTCGACATCTTACCTTCGTCGTACTTCTTGACGACAAACTCAATGTCACCTTTTTGATTAACGTCCGAGACGGGTGTATATGGTCTAATGACGTTGTTACCTTTTGGAGTGACAAATTTGGTCATCAACATGGAAGCAACAACCAAGCCTGAAAGGTCATCCTTATCCTTCAAATCGAAAACCAAATGCTTGGTGTTGTGGTTCAATTGTTCAGCTTTCTTCAAGGTCAAGTCAATCCATTCATCACCACCAGTAAAAGTCTTTCCGGTTTCATTTCTAATAAATGACTGTGTGGAGTAGTGGTAAGCAACGCCAAGAGAGGCAGTAGCGCCAATGAATGGCACGACGTATCTTGGAGCAAGGAATCTTGTCATAGCAGTAGACATGTCAGCTAATTGTATTTGCAATTGAGTTGTAAAAGATCGATAAATGAGAGAAAAAAAGAAGAAGACACTTTTCTGGGATTATTAACCGCCGACACAATTGGTTGAATCTTTTTTGCCGATTTATATAGTTTTAAAGAGTGACACAGCAATAGCAAAAAAAAAAGAAAAAAGAATAGCTGTTGGACACAAAAAGATGACAACCACCACAGTATTAAAAGTAACCTACTACTAATGTGTGTAGTTTGTTCATTAGTTAGCTTATCATAATCTATATATATATATGCAATTTGGGGGGGGTAATCTAGTCAAATAGTGCCTCGAATGTATGAACCATATACAAGTTAAGCTTTAGCTTGACTGAAACTTCAGTTTGTTTGTTTGTTTTTTTGATACAAAAGCTATAATACAACACATATCTCCTCTCTATGGCTAAATTGCCACATTTTGTGGTGGTAGCGCATACTTTAGTCTTCTATATTACAAAGAAAAGAAAAGAAAAGGGGTGGCTGCTTTTTTTTATGCGACATTGACATTTGTATTTGTATTTGTATTTGTATTTGCGACATTTTTATTAAAATCTTCAGTGTCGGAGATCCGGACTTTGCGTTCTTCTTTTATTTTCTTTTTTTAACACCTTCCGATTTTAAATTGCTGTAAAAAACCAAATTCAATTCAATTCAATTCATCATATACACTTTCTACATCTCTAACCACTTTTGTTTTCTTTTTACCAAAGTATTCCCATTCCAACTTAAAACTCCACTGCAAAATGCTGCTTCGTGCCAAGTCTCACAAGGAATTGATAAGTTTATCTCGCCAACTCATTCAACCACTTCTCCCTAATTTCCACAAGGGCCAGGCCGGTAGAGTCTGTATTATTGGTGGAAATGAAGACTACACAGGAGCCCCATTTTTCTCCAGTCACTCAGCTGCATTGGTTGGCGCTGACTTATCTCATGTGATTTGCGAGAAGCAAGCAGCGCCAATAATAAAGTCCTATTCACCTGATTTAATGATCCATCCCTATTTACTAGACTTGGAGAATCCATCGTTGAAATTGAAGGAAAGTGAATTGGAGGACTTGAGAAAGTTGTCAATAGAGGAGGTGTTGAATGAAACAAACGTCCTCACAAAACTTATTGATGATGTTGTTTTACCAAAGATCCAGCTGTTGTTGACCAGAATGGATATTATAGTAGTGGGGCCAGGGTTTGGTCGTGACCCATTAATGTTGAAATCTTTAGTCAGGATAATTGAGGAGATTAAAGTCTTGAATAAGCCAATCATATTGGACGCAGACGCCTTATACCTTTTATCAATTGAACCCAAGTTGATTACAAACTACTCAAAGGCAATTATCACGCCAAACATTGTTGAGTTCCAACGAATCGCGAAAAAGTTGGATATCGAAGTTGACATCAGCAAGGACTATTCAGAAGAAGTTTTGATAGAACAAACCCAGAAATTATCTTCAAAATTGGGCAATGTATTGGTCTATCGCAAAGGAGAAGTTGACATAATTGCCAATTCAAAGAATGTGGTCCTTAACAGTTCAACCGGATCCAGCAAACGTGTAGGTGGACAAGGTGACACGCTAACAGGTGCAATTGCAACATTGGTGAACTGGTCAAACCACTATTTGGACAGCTATTGGGACAATAAGGTCGATTTGGATGCGAATGAGGCACACATTCTTGCTTGTTATTCTGCCGGCTCCTTAGTTCGTACAGCTGGCCAAAAAGCATTCAAAAAATATGGCAGGTCAATGCAAACATCCTACATCCACGAGTTTTTACATGAGGCATTCGTTGAATTGTTTGACGATAGTATATTTAGGTTTAGCAATATGTAATACAGCCATTTTAGTTGTTGTTGAGCTCTTTTATTTACAAGTACTGTGTGTAGTTCTATGTATGACTTATTTCTAACCTGAAGGTCTTTTGTAGCCTAAGTCTATAGTGTAGATACTTAAATACGGTAGTGTTATGAATAGAAAGATTTGTTTTTTTTTTTTTTTTATTTGAAAAACCTATAAACTTCTATTGGGCTTATTCGTCAACATTTATAATAAGTTGTTATTAATAGTTAGAATCACAAAGTGCCTTGGCACTCAATTGTTTTGGCCTAAAACACTAGCAATAACATGGTGTGAGTCACGTGAATCTTCGGTTAAATAGTAGTAAAAGATGATGCGTAAAATAAATGAAAAATGAAAATGAAAAAGGTGGGGGAAATAGAGAGAGAGAGAGAGAGGGCGGGGGGCGAGAAAATAAAAGGACCAAACCTAAAAAAGAATAAAAGAAAAAAGAAAATGAAAAAGGTAGTTGGTTAATTATAATCAGATTAGATTTTACTCCTTACATTCAACGATATCGAAGATGGACACAGCTAGTTGTGGGCCTTCAAGTGCCATACAGAACTTGAATAAGCACACTCAAAGAGATACCTCTTTACAGCATCAAAGATTAGGAAATCCACCTCAGCAACAAGGGGTTCATCAATTTCGTCAAAATCAAGTAGTGGATCAACAGTTGAACCAAGAGTTTCAAAGGTTCAATAGTGGTGGTCCTGGTCATGACTTTGCCACTCTGTTTATGGAACAAAACCGACCTCAGTTTCAGCCACAACACCGTGCTGTGCAACCCCAGCACCAGCATCAGCATCAGCATCAACATCCGCAACAGCAACAGCAACAGGGTTGGATAAATGACTTTTCAGGTTTGAGTATTGAGCAAAGGCAGCAACCGCAAGTGAATAATTGGCTGAAGCAGTTTATGCAAGGTGGACCTTCACAACAACAGCAAAAACAGTATTATCAACAACAACAACAACGTCAGAACCAACAGCCGATGGTGCATAGCCAAATTCCAAACTATTCGTTGGGTACGTTTCAAAATAGGATAAACATGAATGCAGTTGGCGCAGTGCCACAATTTGCCGCGCAAACTGAGCATCAACAAATACACAAATTGGATGCAGGGCATCAAGAGATATTAGAGAATGAGTTTGACCGTATAGAAAAGGAATTAGCACAAGAGCCTCAAACAAGCGAGGCTGAGGCCATTTTGTCAGAATCCGTGGATAAAGCGTTGGAAGACCACGATCGGGATTTGTTTGCTGAAACTGCACGGTCAGTGGAAAACTCAATGAACGGCTTGAACACAAATGATGCAGCAATGGCGGAAAAGTTTCAACAGTCTAGTTTCCTAAACTTGATGCACTCGATAGCCAACAAGGAGACGGTTTTAGAAAATAATGAATTGAAGACACAAGAAAATGTTTCCGCAGAGACATCGGCACAAGACACGGCTAGTAATTTGAAGAGTTCAGACTATATTCAACCAATGTACAACCCAGATCAACAACAGAATCAAGTTGACTCCATGGGTTTCAACACCGATGAATTCTCAGACGAAACGATCCCAAACCATCCCTTCACACAACAAACAACGTCCACACGGTTCAATACTGATGAATTCTCAGATGATACAATCCTAAATCACCCATTACCACCACAGGCTATACCACAAATGCAAAGAAAGAATCTTCAGCAACATGAGCCGAGCGAGACGCAGAATCATCTACCTGATCCTCTTGCGCATATAGGTAACCAATTAGATGGTGTAACTGATCCATTGACGGCAGCCAGGATTATTAGTGGTGGACAAGTTAGGAGTAGAGATTGGGAAGACGATGACGATTGGTTGACTGAGGACGTTACTTGGAGAAAGGGGCAAGTTGTCGGCGGACAAAGGGAAGAAAGATTTGGTAAAAAGGGCGATGACAAGGTGCATGCGCGTTTCGCTCCAAGTTAGTTAGTTTAGATTGTTTATTTTGTTTTCTTTATTAAAGGTGAAACGATTTCCAAGTTTCAAATACGTATTTGCAAAGTCTCTCACGTGAGCCGCTAAAACGTCAAACGAGTTTTAAAGCATTTCAGTGGGAAACGACAAAAGTCCGAAAAAAGCCACAAAAGTGATTTTTTTTTTCCACAACACAAACTCAACGGATGTTACCAATGTTGAGCGTGTGCTCTGAAGAAACTTTAAGTGGCACGTCATGGCTGACGGAGGGGCTACAACTTTGGTGAAGTATGCGTTTTGCCACATTGTGAAGGTGGAAAGTATTCTTCGCAACTAATTTTGTTCCAGACCAGTGACCAGTTGTTGTAACCTTCGGAATCGTTACGAGCCATGAAAGAATAGAGTTTGCTTCATGTTTGAAAGGAATTAATGTGCTTGACTCCTCTACTTTGATCATGTAGCCAATATACTTACACTGTCTCTAATCCATCACTTTGTAGATCCTTGACTGTTTAAAAAGTTGAGTTGTTGAAGAGCCCGCTAGCTTTCCGGCCCGTATCAGCAAGTAAGAGACTTATTATACTGCACATTGTACCGCGTCTTTTTCCTATTGTTATGTTAAGGATCTCTATAGTAAGTTAACCTGCGACATAATCGTTGGTAAAAGAGAGTGTGTATTAATTACATCATAGAGCATATAAATAAAAAGACAGCTTTGTGTGCAGACACTACGTCCCGTTTCTTTTTCTGTTGCAGTGTATCACGTGCAGAGCGCAACAACCTAGACCTAGACCTACGACTAAACATCCTGCAACCACACTAGACTTGAGACTTAGGACGCGATCTGTATTTCAAGCAAGAAGAAGAGGATTTTCCAAAGTAACTGGGTTGTAATTTAGCCAACAAAAAGAAAAAAAAAAAAAAAAAGGATGGGTAGGGCACTACTTGTGTAACTTAACTACAACCTGCATGTAATGAATTGAAGAGAATGTGTGTGTGTGTGTGTTTCTCCTGCATATAACCTTAACTATATAAACGGAAAAAGAAATTAATAGAAGAAGAGGGAGAAAAAGAAACGAGAGATGTCTTTTGGCGCATAGCTTGAAAGAGGTGAGATGCCGATGAGAGAGAGACATACGTAGATGGGAAAACACTGAAGAGGTGCAAACCTATCGATTGACCCTCGGAATGCGGCGCAGGTAAAAGTGAATACAGAAAAAGAAACGAGCAAGAGTATTTCAAAGGAGGGGGATCAGTGAAACAGCTCAAACACAAAAGTAAAAAGAGATATTAGGCGCGATACAGAATATTTGTACTGCTACATACAACATTATAATGCAATATCGGAGTTTTTTTAGTTGTCTATACTCTCTTTGTACGATGATCTCATTTGCAAGTATATTACACCCTTCAATTGCTCAGTTCTCTGGATCTTTTTGTTTCCATATATAAATAGAATTCAATTTCCTCCTTCCTAATCAAATTTAGCTTTTCATTAAATCAAACAAACATACATATACATATATATACATATATATATATTCAGCAATGACAAACTCCCTTCCATACAAAATTGAAAAACCATTCAAGGTAGCAATCATCGGTTCAGGTAACTGGGGAACTGCAGTTGCCAAATTGGTTGCTGAAAACACTGCTGAAAAGCCGGAAATTTTTGAAAAAGATGTTCAAATGTGGGTTTTCCAAGAAGATATCGATGGCAGAAAGTTGACCGATATAATAAATCAAGATCACGAAAATGTCAAGTACTTGCCAGGAATCCAATTGCCAACCAATTTGATTGCCAATCCCGATGTCGTTGATACTGTTAAGGATGCTGATTTGTTGGTGTTTAACATTCCACATCAATTCCTTGGTAGAGTCAACAAGCAATTGAAAGGTCATGTAAAACCAACTGCTAGAGCCATTTCATGTTTGAAAGGTTTGGAAGTTGACCCAGAAGGTTGCAAATTGCTTTCTACGTCGGTGACCGATGACTTGGGTATCTATTGCGGTGTCTTGTCCGGTGCCAACATTGCAACCGAAGTTGCTAAAGGTAAGTGGTCAGAAACATCCGTCGCTTACACTATTCCTAAAGATTTCAGAGGTGAAGGTAAAGATGTTGATGAATACGTGTTGAAGGAAGTTTTCCACAGACCATACTTTCATGTCAGAGTCATACAGGATGTTGTCGGTGCTTCAATTGCCGGTGCATTGAAGAATGTCGTTGCTTGTGCTGTCGGTTTTGTCATTGGTGCTGGTTGGGGTGACAATGCCAAAGCAGCAATCATGAGAATTGGAATTAGAGAAATCATCCATTTTGCCTCTTATTGGCAAAAATTTGGTATCAAAGGTTTGGCCCCACCAAACCCATCTACTTTTACCGAAGAGAGTGCGGGTGTTGCCGATTTGATAACAACTTGTGCTGGTGGTAGAAATGTGAAGGTTGCCAGGTACATGATTGAACACAATGTTGACGCATGGGAAGCAGAAAAGATTGTCTTGAAAGGACAAAGCTCGCAAGGTATTATCACTGCCAAAGAAGTTCACGAATTGTTGGAACATTTCAAATTGCAAGATGAATTCCCATTGCTCGAAGCTACGTATAAGATCATTTACGAAGGTGGCAAAGTAGATGACTACCCAGGTATTTTAAACAGTGATTAGATTTAGAGTAATTTAATTGTAGCATGTACATTAGATAAATAAAGGTTACTACGTGTGCATACAACTCACTAATGCACAGGAAGTACTCCCCTTGCTTGTCATTTGCAAATACTATACTTCAAATTAATCATCGGAAACAGCAGTAGATACGGGTGCAAGAAAGTTGAAGAAAGAAACACGCGGTAGTTGTTTTTGTGGGGAGGATACGGATAAAGGGTATGTTCATACGGAACCACTAAAATTTAAAATAAACCGCGTTTCCCCATCTTTCTCATGTACTCAAAGTCCATTGCGTCGATTGTGTCCATTGTCTCTCATTTCAACGTCTTTTCTAACCAAGGGACGATCGACTGATTCCAACAATCACTCAAACCACATTGTGTTGCAGCACTGTCGCGGTTTTTTCCGTTCCTTGTCGATTGCACGTGGGCAGGATTTTACAACAGCTCCCCCAACCACAAAAGCAAAATTAACAATAATGGCGGTTGCGAAAACAATATCCGCATCTCCTCGGTACCTCGCCGAATAATGAAATAAACGTTTGTCTGCATACACGCGTGGAAGAGCTTTTGCTAAACTCTTACAAACAAGAACAGTTCCGTTTTAGAATAAAGAAAACCGCGTTTCGTGGAGAGCGTTGACATATGAGTGACAAGGAGCCCTATTGTCTTTAATGTTTACGTTTCCATATCAAAGGTATCATCATCATCATTGAAAAAAAAAAAAGGAAAAAAGAGAAATAGATCCCACGTTGCAGTGCCTGTAAAAATTCAGTTGGATATATAAGTGCCTGCAGAACATGGCTATCCTTGTTTCACTCCAGTCTATTTTCCCTCGACAACGACGATGTTCTTTTTAGTATTACTTCCGCTTATTGGTATAATTGCAGCATCTTCTTCGTCACACGGGTATGCTCCAGTTTCAGTTTCTTGTCCAGGAGGCCAGTTAACCAGATCATCTCTCTTAGGGCTCAATCCTGATGAGAAAAGATATGTGGATCAGAGATACACTGATGTTGCCAAACCCAATTTGAGATCTTTCCTTGCAGGAGCCAATTTGACTGATTTTGATGCTGATTCATTTCTCGACCAGGCAAATCCTACGATTGGTATCACATTTTCTGGTGGTGGTTACAGAGCACAGCTTAGTGGTGCAGGTCAATATGCTGCTTTAGACTCTAGAACCAATGTTGTTAATGGTAAGGGTTTGGGAGGAATTTTGCAGTCAGCCAGTTACATCTCAGGTCTTTCAGGTGGATCATGGTTACTAGGATCTTTGGTGAGCAATAACTTGATATCAATTGATGAGTTGATCGATCAAAATACCCTATGGCAGTTGCAAAACTCATTGTTAACCAACGGAGGTGATATTGCAAACCACTTGGATTACTGGAACCTGATCAGTGATGAAGTGGAGGGAAAGAAGAACGCGGGATTTGATGTGACCATCACTGATGTGTATTCCCGAGCATTGAGTTATCAGTTGCTCACCAACTCACCATACGATGGGGCAGGATATGCATTCAGTTCCATTATAAATCAAAGCAACTTCCAAAGCTTTCAAGCACCTTATCCTATTCTTGTTGCACTCGGTAGGGAACCCGGACAATCCGTTATTAATCTCAATAGTACCGTCATGTCCCTAACTCCGTTTGAACTTGGTAGTGAGGATCCTTCCTTGCAATCATTTGTGCAAACAAAATATGTAGGAACGCAATTGGATAACGGATACTCAAACAACATTTCGTGTGTCAATGGATTTGATAATGCTGGTTTTTTCATGGGTACTTCCTCCTCATTGTTTAACGGTGTGGTACTCACTTTGGACTCACCACAGCTCCCACCATTTTTAAGGAACTTGATTAATACGTTTATTGTTAATCCATTTGAGAGGTTGAATGTTGATGTTTCACACTATGTCCCCAACCCATTCTACAAAAGCCGTGATGCAAAGAATTCAATTGAAAGAAGTGATAGCTTGTTCTTGGTTGATGGTGGTGAGGATGGCCAAAATGTGCCTCTTGTACCTTTGCTCCGTCGTAATTTGAGTGCCATTTTTGCATTTGACAACTCAAACGATCACTTAACCTGGCCCGATGGGACTAGTTTGATAAAAACATATGAGCGTCAGTTTTCACCACAAGGTAAAGGCACTCCATTCCCATACGTGCCAGATCAGAAAACGTTTAGAAATTTGAACTTGACTGCAAAGCCAACTTTCTTTGGCTGTGATGCAAAGAATTTATCGTCCTTAACTTCAGACATATATGACGTTCCGTTAGTAATTTACACCGCCAACCGTCCATACACCTATTGGTCAAACACGTCCACCTTTAGGCTAGAATACCAGATCGATGAGCGTAACAACATGATTGCCAATGGGTTTGCAGCAACCACTAGGTTGAATGGAACTTTGGATGAAGAATGGGATGCTTGTGTTGGATGCGCCGTAATCAGACGTGAGCAAGAAAGGTTGGGAGTTGAACAAAGCGAGCAGTGTAAACAATGTTTCCAAAGATACTGTTGGGATGGTACCATATATGAAGGAGAACCAATTGGAGACAACTTTGATGACAATGGTTTAACTGTAGCTGCCACCTATTACAATGCTCAAAATGTGCCAGGTTTCCACAATACTGGTCCAAATATCAAACGTGACCAGGTGGTTATTGCCAACCAACAAGATTATAGGGACGAAGCTTAATCGTAAGCGGCTTCATTTCTAGTTCGTTTGCTTTTGTGCCAGGAATACACAGCCAAGAAGTCATAAAAGTAGTATCTATAATCGTAATTGTGTACAATCATCATCTATTCTCTAAACTAAACTTTCTATCATTGAATATGCTCTCGGCTCTTCTGACTCTTTGCGGTGTTTTGACTTTTCTGACTACTTTGTGAACGAGTATCACTGGTGACCAGCTCCTCATCCTGGTCCTCTTCATCGTCATCAATCAAGAAATTATCAGTGTCAAAATCAGTAGAGTTCAATTCAATCTCATTGTGACTTCCTATTTCCAATTCGTCGGCAAAGTTTCCAAATACTAAAACGTCATCGTGAATGACACCCCTCTGGTGGAAACTGGCTAACTTTTGTTGCATCTTGACATAAATCAAGTAAGTGGCTAGTGATGCTGCACCAGCAGTGATAGCTATACTGATTACGTCAACAACTTTGGACATCCCTGAGCTCTTATCACTTCCCAAATCTTTCAACTTGCTGCCAACAAACAAATGTATAAATAGCTTTGGGGAGGTGATGAATGTAGCAAGAAAGTATGTCAAAAGTGGCAACTCCGGTACTGCAGCCAAAGCTCCATTCGATAAAGAGTATGGCAATGGACAGAGTCGTATCAAGCATAGCAACAATAGCGAGCTATCTTCATGCAACACTTCAGCAAAAGCCCTAAACTTTTCGTTGTATTGCACGAGTCTAGTAGCTTGGTTTTGTAGTAGGTACCGGAACACAAGAAATGACGCAGTGCAGCCTGATACTGATGCAAATGCCAACAATGGCCATCCCTGTGGGAATCCATACACCATTCCCGTCAACATACTTAAAGCGGTGAATCCAATTAGTGGTGGGAAACTCACAGTGAAAACCAAGGCGAAAATGATTACCCGACCATATTTCAAATCATGCCATTTATCTGATAAATTGATTAGTTGGTTGATCAAGTATGAGTGGAAGACTATAAACAAGATTCCAGCTATTGCGAGGAGGATACACCCCGCTGTAACAAGGACCTTTTTGATCAATGATTGTTCATTGAACCATGTCCGTATTTGATTTGAAAAAAGTATTGATGACGCCACCTTGTCGGCAATAAGCTCTCTTATAGAAGGGCTTCCATTTGTTGCAAATTGGTGCTGCTGGTCATTGCTTGACAATTGGGGCATCTCCGATTATGCTTTTGATAAGGTAGTCGAGGCATGTAACTTTTGCCTTGAAATTATTAAGAGAAGCGAGAATACGTCACAAACTATGGCGGTGACAATTTTTTTTTTATTTTTTTTTCACTCAACCAATGTCAATCACAACAAACATATCAGGGGAAGGGGCAACTTCGGAATCCACTCTTCATAGGTCTGAAGTGCCTGGTTTTCCATGTTGCATACCCTTTGTACATTGTCTTGCTTTAAACTCTCATAAATCCCATTTTTCATGTACAACCTCTCTACGAAACGCCCTCTATACGAAAGAGTCAAAATCCCTCTACAGTTGTTTTCAACTCGACTGCAAGCTATTTAACTCCCAAGCCGTGCAATAGTATCTCCAATCTAATTTCACTATAACTTATTGGATCAACTATACTCCTTTCTTAGTGACATGTTTGTCGCAAATATTGGAGTTGTCGCAAGTTTGAGTTTTGCAAAACTAAAATTTGAGACATTTGATGTCATAGTCCAAGTGTCTTTGGACCGCTGTTAACGCTTGTGATTTGGTAACATATGTTACACTAAAGAGGCGTGAGCATCTGAGAGCAAGTAAGTAAACTGCAAAAAGTAGAAAGATGTTTCTTCAATTCTCCTTTGAAAGCGAACATCAATACGTGCTTTCTCGGAGTTTTTGAACAAATTTTGTGTTGATTTGAACGCAAAATATTATCAATGGACAATAGGTATTATAAAGGCAACATTGCAGAACATATGCGTCAATTAATAGATTGAACCATTCAAAAGAAATGGTCTTGCTCGCGTCTCGACAAATCAACGACAATGAGTAGCTTTCTCCTGGTTAAGATTTGCTCCTTTTCTTTGACTTCTGTCAGTTGACCATATTTCGGAAACGAAGCGGTGCTTTATTTTTCTGCTGCTCTATTGATTGACCAATCAAAGTCGAACAAGATACGATTACTGTGCGTTAGATTGTTTGTATACAGTCCTTTGTATGTACTCAATATAAAGTGTGACTACCATTAGTAAGAAAAAAGAGCAAAGGTCGTGCGCACGGTGCAAAGTGTTTTCTTTTATGGAGAGAGAGAGAGTGTGTGTGTGTGAAAATAAGAGACAATACAGACAAAGGGTCAAAAATCATCTTACAGATTAAAAGTAAAGCAGAAATAGAAACTTATAAAAAAACACTATTATATCTACCACAACGTACTGGTAAATTGCCCAATACAAACACCCACCAGCATAGAAACTAGCTATTATACACAATGATCACCCGAAGGTTGCCAGCTGTGCAATTCAGAAGATACTTATCTCATGAGTTGAAAGAAAGCAACAAGAGATTCATTCAAACCACACCTACGAGTACGAGGACTAGTTCAAACTCTTTCTACAACTTTCAACACGAGAAAACTAGGGAACCGCAACTACTTGATAGAAACTCGGGGTCAAAATGGGCAAAACACTCGTTGGAGTTTCCCTCGCAACCAATCAGTGCACCAAAAGAAGCTAATGAAGAATCCCAATCATCAAAGGCCCCAGTACGGAGGCTGAGGACATCGAGATTCAAAACTTTCAATAACCTTACCTCTGTACAACCATCAACATTGAAAACGGCAAACTCAACTCCGTTCAAGAAACCCTCATCCGAGACGTCATCCCCGTCACAGGTGATTGAAATCACATCAGATCCAGCAGTACAAGCAGCATCATCCTCAATACAGAAGAAACCAAAGCCATTAACCACTGAAACCATACCAAAGACAAACACAGCACCCTCCACCCCAAAGAAGAAACGCACATTGCGTCCACGTAAAGCATTAATAACGCTATCTTCCAATGCAGTTTCGCATTTACAAGCATTATTGGATCAACCTGAACCCAAGTTGATTAGAATCGGGGTTAGGAACAGAGGATGCAGTGGATTAACTTACAACTTGGAATATGTTGACAAGCCTGGTAAATTTGACGAAACTGTTGAGCAGGATGGCGTCAAGGTACTTATAGATTCAAAAGCATTGTTTTCAATTGTCGGTTCCGAAATGGATTGGTTAGATGATAAATTGAGTTCAAGATTCATTTTCAAGAATCCAAATTCAAAAGGCACTTGTGGTTGTGGTGAATCCTTTATGGTATAGAGCTATATACAAACTTTTAACGAATGGCTTAATAGTCAAGATATTATTTATATACAGTTATTTGATCTTTCGACATTCGAAATATGTAGCATTGATGTCGTTGGGCAAGGAACAAAAGTATTCGTGCTTTTGCATAATCTTGAACAATTCAATCGAGTTTATTTGCAACTTGAGACACGTTTTGCCACCGTCTCTATTCGACGTGCATATGATACTTTCTTTGGTATCCTTTTCCCCATCTATAACAAACATATTGGTTGGCGGATAGTTGTGAATAAAGTTGCCAACTGTCGAGTCTGCATCTTTAAATGTTTTTGCATCGTTTATATGCTTGAGTTTGATTTCATGAGATTGCGAATCTGAGCTCAACTGGTTCAAGGTCGTTTCAATGTCAGAAGAGTCATTGATTGGTTGTCTTGCATTTGGATGAGGAATTTGCTGATGAGACCGCTGCTCTATATTTGGTGCAGCCAATGGAGGAGTTGGTGGTGGAACTTCTGTTTTCTGAGAGCCAAACGATAACCAACCCATGTTATTTATTGCTGTACGAAGGTATTTTGATAGGTGAAAACAGTGAAGCTATGTAGGATTGCTACATTATACAAAGTTGGTAAATCTGCCCCTCCACCCAAGCGTTGGAAAAAAAAAAAACAAAATCTATAGAGAGAGAGAGAGTGTGTGTGTGCGTGCGTGTGTGTTTATATACAGGATCACAAGCATAGTCCTAAACTTTCATTCAATCTCATCAACGTCGTTAGGTATTGCTTGTACGTTATATATAGGAGAGTTTCGCTATCATGTGTTTTGCTTTTCTTCTTATTGGTGTTGTCATTTTGTAGTTGGCGCAACTGGTCAAGCCATTGAAACTTGTAGTCATATTTTATCTTCCATGGGCAATCCAAATCCATACGAAGCAAGGTACTGATAACTCGTGATTCAGTTGTGTCAATGCTGGCTCTCACCTCATCCTCTATCGTAGACACGTTATCTTCTGCATGCGGGTTTTCGGCCGCCACAGTGTGATTGAATACAAAAGTCAATGTAGCGATGGTTCTCTGTTCAAGTTCGTCGTCAGAAAGAGGTGGGAGCTCGAGGAACTTCTTCCGTTTGAGGTTGTAGTCCACATTTCGAAAGTTTCTTTTCACTAATGCAACATAATCGTCACTGGTGATGTCTGGTGTCGTGTAAGGGTTGTCATCTACTTTGAATAAATTTGGTGTGCATTCAAAGTTGCGTAGCTTATAGAATCTTTTGTATAGTGCACGTAGTTTTGACTTGAAGTTGGGTAGTTGCTTGATTTGGGTAATAGTAGAGTCGATATTGAAAGCAGGGACATTGAATATTAAACCTTTTTGGTGCTGTCGTAAAGCATACCTGAGGCTCATTGGATGTCTAAAGAGAAACACAGACACACAATCGCATTTTTTTTCTTTTTTTTTTTTTCCCACTCCGTGTCTCTTTTCTTTGACCCCCTTTGGTTGCAAATCAATTAAACCTCTTTACACCACGTATGTCAATCATAGTCAGAGAAGGCAACACTTACTACCAACTCGAGCTCAACTACGATACAATCCCTGGTGTCTTAGCTATACCCGCTTCCACGTTGTTTTTGGACTTTAAGATTTACATCAATTCACATCTTGTGACAGTGGTGGACAATGATGAGTTGGTAAGGAGTTTGGCCGCTAGATTCCAGCCATTTTGGAACCACTGCCTATATGATTCATCCATCAACATATCAGACACGCCAGCCGTCACCTTTACCCTTGTCTGTAAAGACACAGTTTTTGCATCAAACAGATTGCCCAAGATTCACTCCATACAGTTTCGTCTTTCTGTATTGACACTTGACTCCGAGATCAATTTGGAGACTCTCTTAGTTGCATTCAACTACTTAATGGTATCGTGGGTCTTGAATGAAGAGTTACAATACCCGGCCATTTTTTCCCCAACGGGTCGCCAATTTATCAAACTCAATTTGTTTTGGTACAAGAAAATGTACTACGAGGTATTAGAAACTCACTTAGACGACGAAGAAAAAGTCATTTCAAGTTACATCGACATTGTTAAAGTACATTATACCACTATGAAGTTGATGAGTGGTGCCGAAACCTTGTTTGACTCTACGAGGAGCAACAGGGGGAGAAAATGTATCTTCGAGAAATGCCCTTTGAGTTTAGTCGTTTGTGCCCATTCTGACTCAAGCTGAGACCAGTTTCTGTGTGGGTGTAAAGTAATTACGCGTACTTGCAAGGGGGTTGCAATTGTACGGTTAAGGTGGGAGATCCCCCACTTGCAAGTCACACAATAAAGGTGAAGTTTTTTCCGACAGCGTGGAGGGAGTCCATGAGCCACACAATAATATTAGCGCGAGGAGGTCTCTGGCTATTCTCCGAAGTATATAAAAAGAATACAAAGTTCAGTGAAAAGAAAAAGGGATCATTGTAATACTTCAATACTATTGTATCCCCACTGAAAATGTCCTCCTCACAACTTAAACTCGCTGTTGTTGGTACTGGTATCTTTGCCACTGACACCCACTTGCCAACTTTCCAAAAATTGCCAAATTTGAAACCAGTTGCTGCGTACAACAGAACTAAATCAAAGGCAGAAACCTTTGCTACGAAGGCAGGTATTCCCGAAGGTAAAGTTTACGATAAATTGGAAGATGCTTTCAAAGATCCAGAGGTGGACTTTGTTGATGCATTGTTGCCAGTTCAGTTCAATCTCGACGCTGTCAAGTTGGCCATTGAAAACAAGAAACCAATCTGCTTTGAAAAGCCCATTGCAGCAAACTTGGCACAAGCTAAGGAGATTGTTCAATTGAGTGAAAAAACCGATTTGCCAATCTTGGTTTTGGAAAATTGGGCATACTTGAAAGCTATTACCATCTTGAAGAAGGAAGTGATTCCCCAATTGGGTGAAATTGTTGCATTCACTTATAATGCCACTGGTCCCTGGAACGACAACAACAAATACTTGGCTACTGGCTGGAGACAAAAACCAGAACACATTGGTGGGTTCTTGAGTGACGGAGGTGTACATCAATTGGCTTTATTGACGGAGGTATTGGGTAATGTCAAGTCTGTCAGTGGGTTGACCAAACAATTGAGAGAGGAGAGTGGTACTGATGATATCTTGTTCTCAACTTTCAATTTGAACTCAGGAGTAATTGGTACATTCACCTATGGATCAGCTTTTGGTGCCACGGACAAATCCACCAGCTTTACAATTTTTGGAAAGAATGGTTCTGCAACTTATGATTGGTCTCCATCTTTAAGTAAACCAAAGATTGTTTATCAAACTGGAGCCAGTGGCCAAACTAAGAGTGAAAAGAAAACAATTGAAATTGATGAAGTAAACACTTTTGAACAAGAGTTTGAAAATTTTGGTGAGGCAATTGAGAAAAAGGATAAGAAATTGATTAAAGTGCCACCAAGCAAAGCTTTCCATCATTTGGCCATTGTTGCGGCTGCTCTAGAGTCTTCAAGCAAAGGTGGTTCTAATGTAAATGTAGAATTAGCTTAGAGTATTCAAAACCTATATTATAGTTCGTCAACTAATCGTGCAGTTGTAGTTATGCTTGAAATTATAGTTTCTAATGTCTCAGATGCAGGTTCCTCAAACACTTCACTCAATGCAGTGGAAAGTACCACAGCAGTAGTTGAGGCAATTACTCTGAGCGTGTCAGCTGTCTCCTTACTAGTTTCGGCTTTTGATCCAGTCCCCAATATCCAATTGAAAATATTGAATATCTTGAACAATGACCAAAACAAGATCTTCAACGGTCTTCTCAACACTCTTCTATACAATACCCAGACACAACACAAGATGAAAAACCCCATACTAAGATATATTCGTTGTCGATCCAGTTTATCTTGCTTTTCAATGAACTTGATGATGCCTCTTGATTTATTCAATAAATCACCAAATTGAATAAAGCTCTCGTTCAATTTTGTCAAATCTTTCGTTTGCTGATCTATGGCATCAATGTTTAATTCGGATTGCAAAATTGACGTTGATAACAAATCTCGAGATTTTTGCAATGAAGATGTGATTTTGGTATTGTGTTGGTTGATTTGTTGGGCAATTGAAGCCTCGGCTGTTTTTCGAGAAGACCTATTGGAGAATAGTTGATCCCTAGCTGATTGATGCGTACCGCCGTTGCTGTCATCGCTTGTTTCATTCTGTGAATCCGAGAGTAAGTTGAAATGCACCAATCTATACTGTTGTATTTTCACTTGTTGCTCTTCATTGAGATAAAGCTGCACTTTTGTAAACTTTCGCTTGAGTGCTTTCAATTTCAAATCGTAGATGCGGTATATAGAGTCATCTGTCGAGACTGACTTCATGATTCGTAGATAATCTTTATACTCAACCAAATGTTGGTTGATACGAGCAACAATTGTCGGGGAAGAATTGTCATCGTCTTCGATATTCAATGTCAGCAATAGATTATCAAAATCGGAGTAAATAGTCTTCTGAAGATGATCCAACTTTGAATGTATGTCCATTGTGTGAGTGAGTGAGTGAGTGAGTGAGTGAGTGAGTGAGTGAGTGAGTGAGTGAGTGAGTGAGTGAGTGTGTGTGTGTTATACAGTTCTGATTGCTAAGGACGTATTGGGGCAGCAGAGAAAAATCTGTTGAAGTATTTCTTTTGGTTGTTTGTTTTGGCAGTCGTTTGGAAAATTGTAAGAAATCATTCAAATCTCCATTTTCATTGCATTTCCCAATGACAAAACACAAAGGAACTAAAAAGCCAATTGATCCATCAAAGCTAACCCCTCAGTATATTGAAGAACAGCGACGAATACGAAATGAAAGAAAAGAACAGGAAAGGCTAGCAAGGGAAGCCAAGGGTATTTTTGACTCTCCTGAGCCAATTGAAAAGTTTATCAAACGACCTATATTGCAAGTACAGGCTCCAGAGGAGGGTAAATTCACCTTCAAACTTATGTCATACAACATACTAGCACAGTGCCTAATTCGTCGTGATTTATACCCCACGAATGGCAAGATACTTAAATGGTCAGTTCGGTCGAAAATCCTACTCGAGGAATTACATTGGTATGACCCCGACGTGCTTTGTTTGCAAGAGTGTGATAAAGTACAGTATCTTCATTTCTGGCAGGAGGGGTTACAGAAAGTGGGGTATGACTCTAAATTTTATCGATTCAATATCAAAAATCATGGGTTGGTCATTGCTTTTAAACAGGATTGGTTTACTTGCAAGCACCAGTCGTATATTAAGTATGATCAAGAGTTGGAGTATGAAACAGATGAACCAAGACTTCCGGAACCGAGAATCATTACAAACAATGTTGGCTTTATGTGCTTTTTGGAATTCAAACCAAATTTAATTCTGCAGTATCCATATTTGGAGGAGAGAGGTGGCGTGATTATAGGTACCACCCACGCGTTTTGGCACCCGTTTGGGACGTATGAGCGGACAAGACAAATGTATATCCTTTTGCACAAATTAAAAGAGTTCGAACGAGTAATGGCGGTGATCAGGGGGAACACCAAACCAATATACTCCTTCTTTACGGGTGATTTGAACTGTGAGCCTTTTGATGCACCATATCTTTCAATGACTTCAAAGCCAGTTCAATACAATGATAAAGCAAGGAATGTATTGGGCTGTTCATTGAGCTACACTTTTTCAAAGGAAAGAGCTTTGGATGAACACGAGAACCCTAATGGGGACGTCAATGGCGACGAGTCTAGCTCCAATGATGATGTTGAGTCAGAGGTTGAGTCACAACATTCCGAGGATGGCGAGTCTGCTAGATTTGATAATCCCCTGGATCCCGAGCCCAGCGAATTTTCACTCATGGAAGAACAGAATAAATTGATCCAACTGCTTGAGGATGCTCATAATGGTATTGACCGTCGAGCAATATCGATGTATTCTGCTGGATACGCACAAGTTCACCCAGAGAATGCCACCGAGTTTCGCAACGAGCCAAGCTTTTCCAATTGGGTTGATAAATGGAGTGGAATGCTCGACTATATTTTGCTAGTTGTGCCCTGGTCCAAGGACGAAGATTACACGAACGATTTAGACACCGATCAATCACTTGAGAAATATAACATTAAACTCACAAAATTGCTAAAGCTACCCACTGCAGACGAAATGGGTCCTAAACCCAATGGACAACCCCGATTATACCAATACCCTTCTGACCATTTATGCATCATGGCGGAAATACAGCTTTTATAGTACTGGTGTACAATCACCTATTCAACATTGTATCAACCAAGTCTTCCAAAGGCCCATAATCTTTTCTTGTGAGTAGTTTAAACTCATCAGCAAACAATACGAAATGCTTCAAGCTTGTATTCAAATGACTCTGCAATCCCAACTCTGTGACCTCATGAAAATGGTGACAGTAAATATGAGCGTAGATTCTAAATAATCTTTTGAAAATCGTTTTAACCAATGTGGGAAATTGATGAGGGAAAGGGGCACCAATTTTGGATGGGAAAATGTTGTCATTATCGAAAAAGTTTTGCACCCAATTCATCAAATTCTCGATATACTCACATGCTGGTAGGGATACTGGTCTTTTGGGTGAAGACGGAATACTAGAACCATCATTCGAAGAGGTCTGGTTGGAGTCTTGCCACAAGTATTCGTATTCTTCAGTTGCAATCATGCGAGGACATGTTAAAGGCGAACAGAATTCAGTTATGGCACCGTACAACATATTGATTTGGTTGTAAAAATCGACAACGTGAATAGCCAACCATTCGTTCAAGTCTTCATCGCGTGGTAGCTTGACCGCCTGGATCAATGCGTTATCTGACCCCAAAGTTTGCTCGGCGTAATTTCGAATATCTTTATGTGACGTAACTGGTTGTCCATTTGCCGCCAGTGCATCTGTATATACCGTCTTATATGAATTGAGTTGGTATTGCTGCTGAGGGGTCTGGTTGGAGGATAACTGGGGCAGATCATAAGGAAAAGTTGAGTTGCTGATTGGTTGCGGACTCGATATGGGAGATGATTGTTTTAGCTTGAACCCCCTGGTTGATCTCAAGGAATGGGTATTGAAGTTTTGAAACAACGCCATCTTTATTATTATTATTATTTTTGTTTAGTATGTGTTTGTCTAGTATGAGTAGCTGAAGTAGGGAAGTTGATCTGTTCTCCAATTAGGTGATTTGTAAAAGTGAAAGATACGATATGATATGACCTTGGATGTTGCTTGTACCGAATCTTTTGAAACCAGGAGAATGTTTTTTGTAATGTTTTGATTTTTGCCCTTTTCGTCAATTTTCAAAATTTACTTTAGATTTCCCGAATAGGTATACAATGGAAACAAAGCACTTCTCTCATCGTAGGTACAAAAGAAGTCCCCCCCAAAAAAAATTAAAATAAAAAAAAAAAAGAAACAAAAATTCAATATTCCGACATCACTGTAATAAAGTCAGTCCTTTCAAATTTAAGCTGCTTTTGCACTGTCAAGCATATCCAGTGAAAAAATATGGAAGTCAATCCTGTTAGCTTGAAAAGACATACTAGCACTGGAGACAGCGACGAGGAATATGAGCCCACAAATGGCCCCTCGTTGTCGGCACATAATGGTGACATTGCCAAGTTCGAGGAGGGCCAACTTTTCAATCCTCTGCAAATGCATCAAGAAGAATCAAACATGGACGAGTTTCAAAGTGACTTTCCCGCTTCCGACAAATCTGACATGCTGGCAAATGGTAGTGAGTTCGACACCCATGCACTGCTGAGGGAGAAGCAAAATGAGCCCGACAGTGCTCCACAACTAGAAGTAGATGTGGCCCAAGGCAGTAATCTTGAACATGAGTCTTTTATCCCGGAAGAATTAGCAAATCATGAAGATGATACTGAGCAGAGTAAACCGAAAGCTTCAGAAAGTAATGACGATGCTTATGATCCCGACCAATCAAACCCTAGCGAAGACTCTACAGTACATAAGCCAGTGGAGGATCCTGAACACAGTGAGCCGTATAAACCTGAAGCGCAAGTAAAGAATGAAGATGAAGATGAAGATGAAGATGATTATGATCCTGAAGCAAATCAAAAGCTGGCAGCCCATTTACCAGCACCATCGTTGCCTAGTAAGCCACCGATTGGATTGCCTCCAAAACCGCCGCAAAGTGCTAAATCGAATCCGTCGACATCCCCTATAAGTACTCAGGGAGAGATGGCAGAAACATTGCGTAATGCGTATAATACGTACGTGCATAGCGAACTCGCCAACGATGCTGCCTTTCTGCAACAACCGCAAGAAGTACAAGTTGAATCCATCAAGGCACTTTTGCGCGAGCGCGGCATTGACTTGGGAGAGATAAACTATGATCAAGTATACTCTTATAATAAGCCACACAAACACTTGAAAGATCCGATTCCTTTGGTTCCTGTTAGTGAGTTTTGTCGTCGACCAAATATCACCGAGCCACTGACACAAGAGGAAGAGAAAGAATACGAAGAATTCATCAAACGGGAGAATTACTACATGGATCTACAGAACTGGGATGAATTTCCCGATAAGCTGAGGTTATTTGTGGGGAACTTGCCTGCAAACACGATCTCAAAACAAGACCTATACAGAATTTTCCGTCAGTACGGAGAGGTTATTCAAATAGCCATCAAAGCTGGTTACGGGTTCGTTCAGTTTAGAGACACCGAGGCATGTTTAGCTTGTGTCAAAGGAGAAACTGATGTTCCCTTACATAACAAGGTGTTGAGATTAGATGCTTCTAAGCCGCAAAAGTCAAGGAGATCAGGAAATCCCGACGTGAATAACCCAAATTTGGGCTCACGTGGCAGAGAGAGACCTGCTGAAGATGAACCTGCACCAAAGAGGAGAAGGGGGAATATTGATTGTATTGTTTACATCACCGGAAAATCGTCAGTGTTTTTCATAAGACAAGTTAAAAAGGCATTTGCCAATTCACAGGTGCAGATTGACACAGAAGATGTGACTCAGAGGAACATCACTGAAGTACTTAGTGAGGCTGCATATTCTGGATTTTTGGGCGCTTGTGTGGTCAAGGAGAATAAAGTCGACGTCCAAACGTACGAAGCACAACCCAACGGCGGCATTAAATTTGATGAATATGCGGACATTGAGCCTGAAGAAGCTGCCGAGGTTATGGCAAAGGCCAAAATAACCAAGTACGGTGGCAATACTCCATCTTACTATGCTCCAGATGCCCCAAGCCATCATGATAATGCTCAGGAGAAAGGCAATAGACGTTACGACCATGACAGGAATAGGGGAAGGAATAACAGACGGGGAAGAGGCAGACACGGGAATCAAGGTAATTTTAGTAATGACCACTACGGTCGCCACAAGAATAATTTCTCACACCAACCCTGGCCAAACGCTGATCAGTTTCAACAATTTTCTTCAGCTCCACAACAGCAAGTGTATGGTCAAGTTCCACAATCTCAGTTTCCCTCATTTAATAACTCACAATTTGCATCCCCATACCAGGCACCTCCTCAACAACCACACTCTTACAACCAATTCACTTCGCCACAGATGAATTCGAATCAGCCGAACATTTCTCACGCGTTGCAATCTCTAGATGCGAATCAAGTACAGAGTATGATTAATCTCCTACAGCAGCAACAGCAACAGCAGCAGCAGCAGTCCCCTGGACCAGGGATGCCACCGCAGCCATATTCTATGCAAAGTCAGCATCCAACAGCTCCGCCCCCTATGGCGGCACCAGCACCGGCGCCAGCACCCGCGGCATATGGACAACCACCTCCATTGAATTATGGCGATCGAGGTCGTAGAAGGGAACCAAACTATGCAGCTAGGAACCGACCTTACGGAAACGTCCCGCAACCTCATCAGAACACTTCCTCGGGGTTCAATCCAGGTCCTCCGAATTCTGGACCCAGTGCTTTATTATCTCGATTACAATCCGGTAGTTACAACCAAGCTGGAAACACACAGCAACTGGGATCTAACAGCGCTCTCATGGAGACATTGCAAAAGTTGGCAAGACGATGAGCTGATTGGATGTGGAAAAGCCTCTTTGTAGCAAGTTGAGCACAATAAGAAAAACAAGAACACTACAGTATTTTCTTCTGTTGATTTAATTTTACGTGACCTGATCTTCTATATACCATTTCTACTGACACCAAAAAAAATTCCAACCGACACACCCTTCTAGTCAACTACATCGTTGGTATCCTCGTGTTCCTGCTCGTTGTATTCCTTCTTCAATTCTTCAAATTCTTGCTCATCTTCCAAGTACCCGTTGATTCCAATGACCCCGCATTCATTGAAAATCTCCAAAATCTTTTCTGCCTCCTCCACTTTCAACTTGGCAAACTCCTTGTTCACTTCATCCAAACTTTGCGTTTTTATTGCAGTTTGAAATTCCGTAGGTAATTTGGAACTAAATATTTCATACTCTTTAGTGCCATCCTCAGGGATATTGACAGTCAATGTAGTGTTTTCGTCTAAAGCTCGTAATTGAATCAATGCCTCTTCCTCATCATTTGCTGCTCTGTTTGCTTGTTCTTGCTCAATAACTTTGCATCTCTGAGTGATGTGATTAACGGTGTTGGTATACTCTTCATTGAAAAATCCCTGGACTTTCTCCTCATTTTGGAACTTTGTGAAAAACAACTTGATCGCTCTAATCGTGTCATCTCTCGATTTATTATTACCCCTAATCTGCACAACATACTGTAAAAGCAACGCTTGGTGAACAATTCTCTTCGTGGCGGAGGGGTCTCCGCTCAATTGTGCATCAAATGCCGTCATCATCAAAGCATCCTTTTGTTGCTCTGTACAAATTTTGGTGTGCTTGATCAAGTAGTCAGCCGATGCAGATAAATCTTTAGGATCAATGGAACCAAACTTGTCCGTTTCGGGCATGAGCTCGAGCTCATCTAACAACGCCTTTTCAATCTCTCCTCCATCGTTTTGTGTCTGCACATGTTCATTAGTACTTTCTTTTGGAACATTGGCAGGATTTGCAGTTGTTGGACTAGTTGCTACTTTCAGATCTGCCTGGGCCACATTAGGCTTCTCTTTCTCAACCACTTTTTTCTTGTCTGTCACCTTTTCCTCTCCTTCTTCCTCAGGTTTATCCTTATTCATAAAAGATCGATCAAAACCAGTATGGAGGTCGTCACTAACTATGAGCTGCGCCTTTTGGTTCAACAAATCGTCCAATTTGATAGTCTGCTTACTCAAGACATCGTCGATCTTGGCCCTGTGCTCTTTCAAATATTCCCCCAATTTTGCACCATCTGCCTTTGCATCGGCGTGATCATCCTTTATTTGAATAAACAAATCTTCAATCATTTCATTGTAAGTTGGCGTGTTTTCAATCTCTTCTCTGTCAAAACTCAAATCTTGTAATCCTTTTCTCAAAGTGTCACCCTTGCTTGCAATCAACTTTTCGTAATCAAACTTTTCATTCGAATCAAACTTTGATTTCAAGGTGGATAACACTAATTGGTCGTTCAACAATTGCTCAGGACTTAGCTGTTCAAGCAAGTACTCAACCCTTTCGTTCAATTTGGCATACATCGTCAACTGGACAAGTATCGATTTGATCTCGATGTTTCGTTGCATCCGCTTTTCATGGATATCCCTCTGCTTCCATCTGATAAAGGATTTCTTATCCACGTTTGGATGAACTTCGACATCCGAGTCATCGGAGATTTCTATTTTGTCCCACTTGGAGTAATCAATTGGCATATTGTGTCAGGTTGTAGATGAAGGGGATATTAGTTATCGGTAAGAGGTGTACTTATGTGTGAGTGAGTGAGTGAGTGAGTGAGTGAGTGAGTGAGTGAGTGAGTGAGTGAGTGAGTAAGTGCAGTGGTCTTATTTCTACAGTGTTTGATTTGCCACGTCGCAAATCTACTTTACACGACATAGATCTACACGCGACAATATTCACATAACAGCTTTACATTATCTATGTAAACTATTTACGCCGTACCATTTGGTCTCAACCCAGTAAAGAAAGCTAAACCATACCCAGTGGTTTCAAATGTTATAGTTGTACCTTTTGGAAAATAAAACACATCACCTGGAGAAACAGAAACCTTGTGTCCCGTCTCATCAGTCAAGGTGTATTCTCCCTCCACTTCCAAAATGATCTTCATTTCATCGTAATCATACTTGTACACCAATGGTTCTCCCTTTTCTTGCCTGTAAAACCCAGCAGAGATTTGCTTATCTTTTGGAGCATCCGAAGTGAAAATGTCACCCAAAAAGGAATTGTTACCTGGAGATGGAATTTGAGGTGGTTTAACCTTCTGTGCTTCAGCGGCTGGCTTATATTGCATAGGCATTTTTGATTGTGGAGTGTGATTGAGTACAGGAAGAGTGAGGGGATAAAACTAAACTACATTCTTTTCGATGTAGAAGGTGGGAAAGTCTAGTATTTATAATGTGGACCAGAGAACTCAACACTCTATCACACTGAAAGTTTTGTCCCGATTGGGTTTAAAGATCCCGGTTGAAGACAAACGCGGGTTGAAGTTTTTTAATGCGCGGGAAATTTTAGTCCTTTTCAGATTTAAAATACGCACTGGAGAAGGGTATTCTCTCGATAAGAGAGAGATAGGCGCACCAGCTAGCATGCTTTCCCGCCACGTTGTATCATGGAGTGCAAGAAATATGCTTCACGTCTTTGTCAGTTTAGTTAAGAGTCGTCTACGCTGCTTCCTCGAGATTGCAGAAATGAGAGATGGAGTTGGGAATAACGACAATACATTCACCTCTATACATTACCCGACAGCTATGGTGATCCCTAAAAACATTTCCTATTCATCTTCTACCAATGGAAGGCAAGCATCAATACACACTTCAACGTCACCTTTGTGTAGAAAGATTATGTCCTTCAAAATATTAGTGTCCAAAGTCGGGAAAACGTCCTTGAGAATGTCATACGCCGCCTTCATCTGCTCCGAGTCAATCTCGTCTTCAGTGGGAGCTTCAGGCTGGTACTGGCTATTGTCGTGATCCCCAGCTGTCACCGCACGAGACAAAGAGCGCAGCGATTTCCTGGGTGGTAATGCAGGAGGAGGAGGGGAGCTAACAAGTGGTCTATTGTCGCTTCCTCTGTCCAGAAGGTTTGATTTGTTGTTAGCGTCTTGTTGTGGCAGTGGTGATAAAAACTGAGAGATCGATTTGGTCAACATTTCAGCACTCGAGAATATAACATTTGAAGGAGACAAGTTAGTGCCAACTTGCAATGTTTCATCAACCTCCAAAGATCCCGACTGGGCACGGTGCGGCTGAGGTTGTGAAAGTTTACGTTTCGGAGTGGGTGGTTTTCGTTCAGGTTCTTCACGCTGACGTAGCAATTCTTGACGCTTCAATTCAATCTGTTGAAGTCTTTCCAATTCTTCCCTCTCTTGTTTTTCCTTGAGCTTATTCTGAGCTTCCCATGCTTCCATATGTGCATCGTACTCTTCTTGGGTGATTGTTAAATCATCTTTGGTCATGTTTTGAATGAAGCTGATAGCACCCTCTATAGAAGAAAGGTAGTAGCTCGTTTCCCCGTGCGAAAGCCATTCCTTGCTTCTAAAGCTTTGGATGTAATGAATGTTGCTAATCAAATGTTCTGTTTTTGCCTTTATAATGACTAGGATCAATAACGGAATGAATGAGTCCGCATTGGTCTCTTTATGACTTATTTTCAAATAACTAAAGATGATCTTGCAAGAATTCAAAATACAAATGATTTTATCCCTAGGAGCACGGTAATTGTTGATTTTGTTCAATTCTGTAGTCGCATAGTCCAAAAAGTCTTGTCCATCTTTCAAGCTCACTGAGCTCAAATGAGTCATGTCGATATCGAAATGTAAGCCATTTATCCAGCTGTATTTTTCCAACTGCAACGAAAAATTCTTGTCCTGAATCAAATCGTCAGTGTACGGGCCCGGAATATATATGGGAGACACATTTTTCAAAACTTCAGGAGGAAAACATAAATCATAGAGTCGATTCATCAATAGCTTCTCCAAACCTTCGCGCGAGTTCTCCAAGTCTATATTGTCCATTGACGCAAATGGTTCATAGAGCTTAAACTTTTCATTGATGAAGCTTTTGAAATCCTCTATTATGGAGATCCTCTGCTCAGCAGAGAATGTATTCACTTGCTTAATATAAGATCCAAGAAAAGATCTCAAGTATCGAACGATGGGATCCGCCGACTTTTTCCGTATTTGAAGCAAAAACGTTTGAAAATCAAATGCCTTGTGAGACTCCTGGTGTTGTTCTGTAGGGTTCACCTTGTATTTTATATTCAAGTGAGTTTTTCCAACAGGACTTTCAGGTCGAGATGACTCGAGGTCTTTAGTGTCGATTTTGATGTCGTCTATCCCCTTATACTCAGTTTCGTTTCCAGTTATGTCTCCTAAAGGTGTCTTTGATGGCGACGTGATGAGCGATGGTACCTGCGACGTAGAGGATGAAACCAGAACAGATTCATTAACTGGCTTATCGTTATTAAGATTCCTCTCTTCATAATGGGTTGATTGACTGTCTCGAGAGTCAACATCAAGCTCAAGCTGGCTATTTTCATGTTCTGTAGTGGGTGTTGTCAGTCCCAAGGAATGATCCTCACGAGCAAATCTGTCCTCACCAACGTCGCTACTTTGCTTCAGTTGAACATGCGCTTCATCTATGTCGTTCACATCACTTTGGCCGTCTGCTTCTTTTGCGGTGGGCTTAGGGTCCATCATTCTACTCGACAGCTCAGTTCTCTCTGGTACTTGCTGTTGGTCCTCTATCTCTTTCTCAATGGTTGACAGTGATGACTCATCCGGTGGGCTATAAGGTTGTATAGTCATGAGTAAATGCGCTGTATTGTTTATCTTTTCCACCGTGAACTTCGGCTTTTCAGTTATAAAAGATGAGTCTTTAGTAGTGTCACCTTCATCCGCCAGCTCCATCTTCTCAAGTTTGTGTTCGGTACTTTCAGGCTCTTCTTCAATAGTCCGCTTCTCTAAGGTAGCCTCTCCTCCGCCTAAGCTAATCAAATCTTCGGACGTCTTAGATTCACTTGTCTCACTCGTATGGATACCTCGCTCAGCTTTGATGTCGAATTTGTCAAATAACCCAATCAAGTCAGTTTTAGAATTTCCCGTCGTTTGAACATCTTTCGTCTTATTATCTATTGTGACCACAGCTGGTGCTGTAAGTGTGGGACTAAGACCTAATTTCGAGCTCGATGGGGACCCTTTAAATGGCAAGTTGTCAACATTGTGATTCTCTATTTCACTGTGAGCCGTTGTGGGTTGCGAATGCAGGTGCTTTGCAAATGGCAATTTCTGATGACTGAATCTTGTGTCTGCTGCCAGTGCCGGAAGTCCCGCAAAATCTTTCTTACTGCCGGCCAAAGAGGAAGACTGCATGGTAGGCGATTCGGTCGAGTTTTCCTTGGGTGATGAGATGGTTGCCTTGGAAAACGTGGTATTTGTGTTGCTAGTTGAAGTTGTGGGAGTGGATTTGGACACATTGAATGCAAGGTTGTTGAAAGACATGTTGCTTGGAAATACCTTTTTTTTCGGTTCTTTTATGTACGGTCTTCACCAAGGTCAAGAAGTGGCGCAATCTCCGTGGTGTATACGTTGTACTAATAATCTATTCAAATAACGGATGGTGGATGCTTTAAATACAATTGCATTTATATTCTTTTATTCTTTTTTTTTATTTTTTTTTGCTTTGTCTCCTTTTGTCTCTTTGTTCGGCTTTTTAAGTAAGAACAATCAATCAATCAATAGAGATATCACACAACCACACTTCTTGATTGAGATATACTTTCGACTGTCTTTGCTTAAGAATGTAAGGTAGATATTGTAATACAATTATAATGTTACATGCTATATAAAAAATGTTTGTAAAAGTGCCAAAACTGCTAAACTAAGCAGTATGCACGATTTGTGCTGTCTGTTTATCTTTCAAGTGTTTTTTGGAAATTAATTTTAACAACTGTACCATCAATAGACACCAAGGATTCTGGCTGGGCGGCAATGCGTGTATTGGCAACGGTTCTTAGCACATGGCTTGGTAATTTGATCAGGACTTGGGAGTGTGATGGATCGAACTTCACTAACGACGGTAACGCTGACTGGCCATTGGTGTATATTTCTTTCTCATCATTCTGGGTATCCTGCTGTAACTTGAATGATATTTTGAAGGACGGTTTCGGTTTCGGTTTTGGTTTCGCAACATCTTCCTGCTTTTGAGGCTTCTTGCTGGTTGGATGAACCAGTGACTTGCGTGACACCAATTGAATCTTGAATCTCCCCTCTCTTCTTAAAACAACTTGGCCGTCTCCCATATTCCTTGCCACAACCTTCTTTTTAAACTCTTTCAATGGCAAACTTGGTACGGGTAGTTTCACCAAAAGCGTATCGTGTTCTTCATAAAGGACTTCCGCCATCAAGAACAAATTACGCTTTACGTAGTTGCTCAATAAGGAGGAGTGCAAGCATATCCAAAACACATTTTTCAAACATTCGATATTTGAATAATCACGTCTCAACAATTCAATCGAACCCTTCAAAGTAGCTCTAGCAAGTAAATCATGTTTCGCCTTCATATCTGAATTTGTTCCCTCATCAATGATGATCATGTTTGACTCGGTTGAGCCAGGTTGTTGATTGTCTTTGACAGACTTACCAAGGTTTACAAAACGTCCTTGAAGGGCAATAAGTGTGATTGATTCGAGTAAAACGCCAACCAATTTTCTAGTGTACAAAGGACGATGGAAGTTTAACAAACACACCTTGAGAAAATAGTCAAGAATTGGTGATGATCTTAAATCACTTAATAACAAAAGACCCTTGAATGCTTCGGCTCGTAAGTCCATGGGATACTTATCAACAGTCGCCATCAACATCGTCTCTAGCGAAGGCGGAACTGCTCCACATAGAGCCATCTGCACTTTGCATTTGAAACATGTAATTTGTAGTATCTTTTGATAAGATGGTCTCCATTCATCAAGTTTTTGTAACCTTGTAATCTCGAAATCAACTCTTTGAGAAAAATCATGGTTATTTGTTTCGACAGAGTCGTCATTCCTCCATCCGCTGATAGCACTAGTTGTCAATGCCTTGATGAGTTCAGACAAGTATAAAGTGTCTTGGTATTCATTAAGTGCATTATCGTTGAACTTTACCAAATTGAACAAAAGCTCCTGAACCTCTTTGGGTACTCTGCCCTCATCATCCGTGATATGGCACAAAATATTGGGCATCGCTCTTTGAATAAGAAATGATCTAAAGTCGCTAAAATCGTTTGATTTAGGTATCGAACTGTCAGGGAAACAATAAAGATGCTTGTATGCTCTGATAAGATATTTCATGCCAAGAAAGTCATTTGCTGCATTTGAGCACGAAGCAAGTGCTTGGGCAGCAGCAATTCTCAAGCGATAGAAATATCTCTCATCCAACAACGTTCGTACTAGCGCCGTGCAATAAATTACTGATGGTTTCTCAAAGTTTCCAAAATATCGCAATGCATCATATTGCGCCCCCACATCTCTATCATAAACGAGCTGGGACCCAAACATAAAGTCAGGTTGCAATACATCAATCTTGGCGATCCATTCAAAGTCTATGTCACCCCGAATCCATTCAAAAGGCTCAGAGCTCAAAGATTCCTCATCTCTGCTTTCCCAATTTTGCAACCCCCATCGTCTCATATCCTCGTCACTGGTGAGAATATCCCCAAATTGATTGAAATTGATCCCAGGATCTACCCCTTCATCCTTCTTTTTAATTTTACGAACCTTCTTAGACAACAGTATGTCTATTGTGGTTTTCATCTCTTTGATATGAATGATATGCTCGTAAGGAGTACCATCAGACTCATGGACTCTGATGTTCATTGGACCAGTAAAGACATTTTGTCTTTGAGACAATGGCTCTCGGTTGATGTAGCACAAGGTATCATCAATAAAGGACTCCGCATCTAGTCGTACCGTTTTATTTTCATGATGCTGCACCTGTCTTATCGTCATTTCAATCATTCCCTTCTTCTTGTTGAAACGCTGAGTGATTTTGAAACTAGGAGCGCCAGAACCGAATACCCATTGCTTGAAAAATGCATCCAACTTATTTCGATTCACTTTTTCACATACATACTGAAAGTGGTCAGTGCTCAAAGTACCATTGGGTAAATCTCCTGACAATGCCTGTAAGAAAAGCTTTGGTATGGCCCTTGATAGACCAAATGATTTATCAGTCTTTATCATTCGATTGTTCAATATAAAAAGTACAACAGGGGATTTCAACTTGATAAATTCCAAGTCTAAATCAGAGACAGGAAACTTCAAAAACGGATGCGCAATAGGTCTCTTGTCAACATCTTGATCCACAATAGTATGCACAAGCTCCTTCAATTTGAAGCGAAACTCATTGGTTCCCATTAACTTTTGAATGTACGAAATTGCCATGAAACCCGCTATGCCCAAAGTGCACCAAATATCATCAAACGAGTGAGGAGCTATATTGATTCCGGACCACTGGGAGGCGATACTCGTAAGCAATATATCCGTTGACACAAACATGGGTTCTATCAAATCCGGCGGATAAAACAATGATGTTGACAAGATTGACAAGCCAGCAAAGCCATTGCTTTTGACAGGTGAATGTTTGACAAATGCAATCACATACGAGCTGAATGGGTAGGAGCCAAACTCACTCAGATAGTAGGTTAATGCTTTGCTTACAATCAGACACGTGTTCCTGGCTAGCTCCTTGTCAGACGGTAAGGCATAAATGGTCACCTGGGAATTCGAACTGTCTTTGTCAGTAAACTCATCATCATAATCCATGGTATTGAAATCGTCACTTGCGGTCACCTGGGACTCATCACTCAAAATAATGCTCTCAAAAAATCCCACAGCCCAACCGATGTGATGTGCCGATACTGGATTGAAAATGGACCATGAGGCTACTTTCTTAGACAAGTCAATTGGGTGTGGAGATTCCTTCACATTGTTTGTGTCTGATGAACAAACAACCAATTCTGGGTTTCCGTCATCTTTTTCCTTGTCCTCATTGTCAAGTTCGTTGTCTTCAATCGAAATGGCATTTTTGGCACGCTTCTGGTATGCTATGGCTTCTTTCGAGCCTATTATCCTTGGATTGCCGATATCTTTTAATGTCCGTGGAACACTCACTTCTAATGACCATGTACATCGGTCATTGAAGTTGTCGAGACATGGCACCCAAGAAGAAGCTGAAACGTTATATTCTGAGTTTGTAGTATATGCATGCCAAAGGTTTTTTTCAATATCGTCATTGGTAATAAAGTTTACCCCGTTCTTGGGATTTCTCAACTCATAGACAATCTTGATATCGATTGGTTTGTAGACTTCGTTGACTGTGTGCTTAGATTTCAAATGGGTCGGAGTCATAGTATTTGGTTGACTGCCATGGGGTGTCATGATGGAATCTAAATCGGTTGGCTCAAATTTCAAGTTTTCCGGTAGTAGTATTTTGAGCTCCTGCGTCCTTTGCTCAGGTGCATAGGCATCCTCGTTATCTTCAGATGTGTACCGCTCGCTAAATATATAGTTCAACTTTCTTTTGATGAAATGGTGCTGATGAATGTCAACCTTGTCGGAATAAAGATCAAGAACATTGACTTCGTTATTCTCAAGGGCCTTCTTTGTAATAGTAGAATCATTAACAAATAATAAGTCATCGTATAAATAGTTTGTATTAAGCGCACCATTGATATAGACTTCCTTTATCCTCAACTCACGACAGTCCAACTTGATGACTTTTAGGGTTTTGGACAACGGTATCACACTGAGTTCAGTAACTCCCTCTATCGAGTTGCAAGATAGATCCACATCAATGCTTACTTTCTGATGGCCCACCTTAAATAGTTGTTGCTTTGCAAAATGAAACGGGCTTGACGTTCGTCCACTCAGTTTTGGTTTGGGCGTGTGCTGCAGTAGCCCATCCAAGTATCTGGGGGTGCCCATGTTGGATGCAAGTTCATTAGAAATTGCCGAGGGCATAACACACCTGCTAGATAGATATATTGTACAAAGTGAAAGGTGGTGTTAGTTCTCGTGTTTTCAACTGCTGGCTTCAAAGCCCTTCTGGTTTTTTATTTTCTGTCGTTTGTCGTTTTCTTCTTCAGCAACAACAACAACAATAACAACAACAACAACGACAACTGCGACATTGCAAAACAGGTCGTGTGCGTGTAACACACGTACATGAAACAATAGCAAATGCTTGCTCAACTTTACTACTCTACACTGTAATATCTATCTTGAGCTAAACTCTATCGATAGGTAATTGCGATCTCACATTATGATCGAATCTACATAATCGTATTTATTCTCTTTCAAAGTCCAAACTGTTTCAACATTTGTATTAGCAATATTCAATGTGGGAAATGCCACAATTTCTCCCCCTAGAAAAATGACTGGTAAAGAATCCAATCGATTGATGGCTGCAATTTTGCCGATGCCTTCTTTAAGGTTCTTATTGACAAGAGGGAAATGAGCCTTGTGGATGTATGAACCTACGGTAATCGTAATTGGCTTATTTCCACTCGACTTGAAGCGCATCCAAAATCTCTTATCAAAAAGGTGCCATTGACTCCAGCAAGAACTAACTGATACCTCCAACGAGACATTTTCCAATTCTTTTCGAGTTAAAGGAGCTCGCCAAACGTCCAACTCTAGCTCAGTTGAGTTGATGTTGTTTGTGACTTCAAAAATCAAATTCATAATACAAAATCTAGCTACCCTGGACCTAGGGTTCTGGGCTAGTTTCTCTAATCGAGGCAAAAGAGACCTCTCTAATTTTGCATACGCCCAATGATAATGGTTCAATGTGGAGTAAGGGTACAATCTTTGATAAAGGAACCTACTTGTAACAACTTTGTTGTCTCCATTCAAACATTCCTTGGGAAGTTTCAATTCCAAGGTTCCAAACGCAGGTGATTCTGAGTATTTGCCCTGCAGTACTAGTTGTTTGAAAAGCGTGTATGCTTTCAACTCAAACTTTTGTGCAAAATCAGCACATTGTTGTTGTGATTTCACAAGCTCACTTTTGACAATCGATTGGTATTGTGTACTACGAAACCCAACAGGTGGGGTAGCACTATTTTCGTCATGTGACAGCAGACCATCCATGATTTGTGGCAACACAGTTCCAAAAAGGTTTCGTAAATAATTTCGTCGTGTTAGTTTCGTATCACTATTGGTTGGATCAATCACATAGGGGATTCCATTCAATGCACAAGTTGATAATATGGTACTCTTTTCGTATTGCAAAAGCGGGCGCACCAACTTTACTGGTAATAACGTCGATTGTTCAGTTGGATTGAGATCAGCTATCAATGGGATTTTGGATATTTTTCTTGTACAAGCAAGACCAAATAGTGACGAATTTCCTTGAAGTCGTTGAACAAAAGTTTCAACTTGATCGTCACTATGATGTCCTAAAACCACCACCGAAATACCGAGGGTATTGCATATTGAGTTCATAGCTTCATACCTCTTTGTCCTTGCAACCTCTTCAAAGTTGACAATGGTCTTGGGATCAACATCATACTGCAATTTCTCTATAATGTGATGAACATTCCATTGTCTCATTACTTGAGAAAGCTGTCTAGCCTCACTTGCCGAATCTGGTCTATAGTTGTGATCTATTGTAATAGCATGTAACTCAATATCATCACGTCGTAGACTGACTTTATATCTTTGTAGTAGCCACATGAGTAGCATTGAATCTGGTCCACCTGATAAACCAACCGCAATCTTTTGTGGTACACGCTGAGAGCGAAAACATCCTTCAAGTACCAGTTTAAAGGATTGGACTGATATACTATTCATTTAATACATTGGACAAGAGAGAGAGAAGTGGAGCAAATTTGCTATAATTGGGAAACATATCTCTCCATAGGTAGACAGAGATAGCCTCTGCCTTTTAAACACAAGCCCGCCTCCCGCAACTGCGAAAGAGAACGAAAAAAAAAAAAAAATTTTACGAATTTGAAAATTTTCAGATTAGTCATATAGACAGATACAATCATATACATTACATAAAGAAAGCAGTATCTCCCTTGTACCATTTACCCACACACACACACACACACACACACACACACACACACACACAGCTGCTTCTGAATATGAGTGAACAAACCTCGGACAACATACCACAGGGAGCTTTCAGCTTTCCAAGAGAAGAGAGTGAAGTGACTAAACAATGGGACGAAATTGATGCGTTCAAGCGTTCCTTGGAATTGACCGAAGATTTACCACCATTTGCCTTTTTTGATGGTCCTCCGTTTGCCACAGGTACCCCTCACTATGGGCACATCTTGGCTTCCACTGTCAAGGATATCATTCCTCGTTACGCAACAATGAATGGGTATCATGTAGAGAGAAGATTTGGTTGGGATACCCATGGATTACCAGTGGAGCACGAGATTGACAAAAAGTTGGGTATTACTTCGAAAGAGGATGTATATGCAATGGGTATTGACAAGTATAATGCTGAATGTAGATCAATTGTCATGAGGTATGCTGACGAGTGGAGAAGAACTATAAAGAAGTTGGGTAGGTGGATTGACATGGACAACGATTACAAGACGTTGTATCCAGAGTTTATGGAGTCGGTATGGTGGGCATTCAAGCAATTGTTTGATAAAGATGCCGTTTATAGAGGTTTGAGAGTCATGCCTTATTCAACTGCTTGTACTACCCCATTGTCGAATTTCGAAGCACAACAAAACTATAAAGAAGTCAATGACCCAGCTATCACCATTGCATTCCCATTAGTTGATGACCCAGATACCATCTTGGTGGCATGGACCACTACCCCGTGGACTTTACCAGCAAATATTGCTTTGGCAGTCAACCCAGACTTCACTTATGTCAAGATATACGATGAAAATGCCAAGAAACACTACATTTTATTAGAAGCATTGATTGGAACGTTGTACAAGAAACCAGCTCAAGCCAAGTATAAAGTTGTTGAAAAGATTGCTGGAAAGGATTTAGTTGGGTTGAAGTACGTGCCATTGTTTGATTACTTTTACGACACTTTCAAAGACTATGGATTCAAAGTTATTCCTGGGTCTTATGTTACTGATGACTCAGGTACTGGTATTGTTCATCAATCTCCATCTTATGGTGAGGAGGATTTTAACTGTGCGACTGCTGCCGGTGTCATTACCGAAAAGAGACCACCTCCAAGTGTTGTTGATGATACTGGTAAAATGACCTCCGAGGCCAAATTAGTATCGGGAATGTACTTCAAAGATGCTGACAAGGTCATTATCAAAAAGTTGGTTGAAGATGGGAGAATCTTGGTCAACTCTCAAGCTCGACACTCGTATCCATTTTGTTGGAGATCCGATACCCCATTGATGTATAGAACAGTTCCTGCATGGTTTGTCAGAGTCGGGGAAATCATTCCTGATATGTTGAAGAATATTGAAAAGACTTCTTGGGTGCCATCAAATGTCAAGGAAAAAAGATTTTCCAACTGGATTGCCAATGCCAGGGATTGGAATGTTTCGAGAAACAGATATTGGGGTACTCCAATTCCTATCTGGGTAAGTGAAGATTTTGAAGAAATGGTTTGTGTTGGGTCAATTGATGAATTGAAGGAGTTGTCAGGTAGAAATGACATTACTGACATTCATCGTGAAAGCATCGATTCCGTCACCATTCCATCCAAAAAGGGTAAAGGTGACTTAAAGAGAATTGAAGAAGTGTTTGATTGTTGGTTTGAATCGGGATCTATGCCTTATGCATCAAAACATTATCCATTTGAAAACAAACTGAAATTCCATGATGCATTCCCAGCAAACTTCATTTCTGAAGGTTTGGACCAAACCAGAGGTTGGTTTTATACATTGACGGTTTTGGGAACCCATTTGTTCAATACTGCACCTTATGAAAATGTCATTGTTACTGGTATTGTGTTAGCTGCCGATGGTAAGAAAATGTCCAAACGGTTGAAGAACTACCCTGATCCAACTTTAGTTTTGGACAAGTATGGTGCTGATGCATTGAGATTGTACTTGATAAACTCGCCTGTCTTGAGAGCTGAAACTTTGAAATTCAAGGAGGATGGAGTCAGAGAGATTGTTTCAAGTGTATTATTGCCATGGTATAACTCATACAAGTTTTTCAAAGATAGTGCTGACTTGTTCAAAAAGAACACTGGTGAGACTTTTGTCTACGATGCTAGCTTGAAGTCAACAAACATTATGGATAGATGGTTACTAGCATCCATTCAATCTTTGATCCAATTTATTCACGAAGAAATGAAGGGGTACAGATTATACACCGTGGTTCCAAGATTATTGGCGTTCATTGACGACTTGACCAACTGGTACATTAGATTCAATCGTCGTAGAATCAAGGGTTATTCAGCTGACGATGTTGAGGATACCAAAAAGGGGCTCAACACATTGGCGGAAGCGTTGTTGATCATATCTAGAGCCATGTCTCCATTCACTCCATACTTGGCTGATGGTATCTACCAAAGAATCAAGCAATACTTCACTGAAGAAACTTTGAATGGAATTGTTGTTAACCCAAAACATAAGGATTTACGTTCGGTTCACTTTTTGCATTACCCGCAAGTTCGTCCAGAGTTGTTTGACAAGCAAATTGAAGTTGCCGTTGGCAGAATGCAAAAAGTTATTGATTTGGGAAGAAACATTCGTGAAAAGAAGATGATTTCATTAAAGACACCATTACAGGAGTTGGTCATTATCAACTCAGATCCCGAGTTCCGTAAAGATGTTGAATCTTTGAAAGGGTACATTAGTGATGAGTTGAATGTACGTGATATCATCATTACCGATGACGAATCAAAGTATTCTGTTGAGTACTCACTTGCTGCTGACTGGCCAGTCTTGGGTAAGAAGTTAAAGAAGGATGCCAAGAGAGTTAAAGCTGCATTGCCCCACGTGTCATCTGACGAAGTTAAGCAGTTTGCTTCAACAGGTAAGATCACCGTTGATGGAATTGATTTAGTTGAAGAAGATTTGCAAGTGTTGAAGGGGTTGTCTGAATCAAAGACTTCTCATGGTCAAGAATTCAGATCGTATCAGGATTTGTTAATCATTTTGGACATTAATGTCCATCCTGAATTGGAAAGTGAAGGATTGGCTAGAGAATTGTTGAATAGAATTCAAAGATTGAGGAAAAAGGCAGGATTGAACTCTACTGATGATGTGTTGGTAAAGTACAAATTGATCAAGGACCACTGTGCATTTGAAACTATGATTGAACAAAATAAGGACTTGATTATAAAGACTACAAAGTATCCTGTTGAGGCAGTTGAATCTGAGGATGGTGCAAGTGCAGAAGTTGTCATTATCGATGAAGAGCAGCAAATTAATGAAACTGTATTCAACTTGCAATTGTTGAAATTGTAAGAGGGATGTATAAATGTATAAATGTATGTATGTGCAGAGAAGTTTCATTTTGTAAATTATAGACTGACTAGAACAGTGTAGATGTGTCTACTCCTTTACGGGGAAATTTCCCAAGTACTTAACCCAGCACCACCAACAATCACAACATGTTTACCTCCAACAGTAGTGACATCACAACATCCAGTATCTGCAACTGTGGTGTACCTCGCATCTTGACAGTATAAAGCATCATCAGTGACAGACCACAATCTAATCATTTGATCAACAGACACCACAACAAACAAATTGTCACGCACATGCGATATTGACGTAATTGTAGCTGATGCAGCATTAGGTTCTCGTTTAATCAAGCGTAGGTCCAATTGCGAATCATCATTACTCGCCGGGATAGTTATTGTTGAGGCAACGAGTGCATTATCATCGCCACCAGTAAGGAGAAGAACCTCATCACGTAAATTGTTTTCGTTCTGAACCAAACAAATTGCCTTGACTCCACTTTGATGAAGTCTCAGTTGGCATTGTTGAGCTGGAGATTTAGGATCTGAGACATTATAAATAGTGACATTCCCATCAGTAGTTGCAATCAACAAGAAATCTCTTGTTCTTCCTTCATTGTCACTACCCAACTTGAAAAACTGACAATGTAAAATGCAACAAGTTGAATAATTCCACTCATGAAGTTTATTAAACTTGAGCTGATCGGTATTCTTGTCAAACTTCCACAATTTGATCATCGAGTTGGAATACACTGTAGTAACAAGAATGTATTCATCGTATTCAACAGCATCATAATCCATAACTCGCAAATCAGGCACATCTTGATCCGATTTCAACCTCGCCAACTCCCGCAACGTCGGAATTGTATTTATCAGCTTATGTGCGCCAGTTCCTGCAACCTGATGCAACCAACTCAACTCCCAAATGATAAACTCCTCATTAGCAGCACAACTAAATACGTAATTTGCATTGAGGAATCCAACTGCTTGCATACCCGATATGTGGTTTGTCATATTCCAATAATTGTGAATGGCACCATTGGGCAACAACTTTGTCAACCCAATGGTTGAATCCTCAGCGGAACTAATCAACAATCTCGATCCATCGGGTAATAATGGCGCATTATTTTGGATTGCAACGTCTCGTATTTCACGACCGTGGGTTCCACCATGAATCACGCCGAAATCGGGTGCTTCATGGTCAGTTTCAATGCCGATTCCATTCTTGTGTATAAAACGACCATTGTAATGACAAACATGAATGTCATTCTTGAACAGATAAATAAAACTAAACTCGGATAAACTCTTGCGATAAAACTTGAAATGTCTATGCCCATTACCTCCACAATACTCGTTCATAATTTCAATCTGTCTAGTTTCGTTCCATACGTAGAAATACGAAGACTTGAATCCATACAAGATCAAATCGGCGCCGTTATGGAAGAACCCACCTTCAATGAACCCGCGTGTCAATTTATTTTCGTGAATGATGTCAGATTTGAATTGGTTGTGTTGTTGAGTAACGGTGAGGATCAAGTACACTCCATCTCTTGCGAGTACCAATATAGTTGATATCCCCAGTTGTGAGTTTAAGATTGACACTGTGCTGACGGTATCGCCCGATGCAACCTTTTTCAACATCAAACAGTTGCTCAAGTTGGTGAGATCGACTAGGAATAATGACATGCGTTTCGATGCGAGTATGATCCGGTTATTGGTGACATCAACCGTCATTGCCGTTACGGGGAAACTTGCCTCTGGTTTCGGGATGTCCCACGACTTGACGATACCGACAAAAGAAGAATTCACATTTGGTATTCCTAATTCATGTAGTTTGAATGGGGTTTTCACATTGGGAGATTCAATCAATATAAAGTACCTTCCCTCCATCGAGCTAGTTAGCAAGTTTGTAATTTTGATAGATGGGTCATTGGACTCAATCCTCGACACACTATGCTCACCACCTTCTGCGTATTGTACAGTCAATAGATTACCACCACGGTCTGCAACTACAACCAAGTCCAAGTCATTGAACCCATCAACTATGCCAAAACCGACAAGTTTGTCATCGTGGTGAATCGTCAGACACTTCTTTGACACATAGTCGTATTCGAGAACGTATCCGTTCGAAGTCAAACACACCAATTTGTTAAATTGTATCAACTCAAAATAATCTCGCACACAATCCTTTTTACCAAACAGTATTGGAGTTTGCGGCGCCAAGTGAGCTGCAAAATCAGACAATGTCAACTTTGTAGTAACCTGATTCCTGCTTTGTAAATCATGCAATCTGACTCTACCATCAGCTCCACCAGTGCAGCAGAGCTGTAAATCAGAAGCATCTATATCACCTGACCAGACATGTTTACCACGATGACAATTTTCAATCACTTTGACCGACTGTAGTAAATCCGAAGTTGGGTCGTGCTTCCAAATCCGCAACGTGCAATCTTCACCAATACTCATAATTCTAAGCTCTTTCTCATCATCGGCATTTCCATCTCCATCATCTTGTCTTTTATTATCAGTACCCATTGTACTGCTACTCCTGCTACTAGTTCTAGCAAATTCCAAATTCCATATCCTCGATCCATGTCCCCATCCAGTTGCAATTACGCTCCCAGATGCAAAATCATACAACTTAATACTGCGATCATCCGAACACGACACAACATGTTTCCCATCACCATCAATCTTGACCCCAAAAATGGACCCATCATGATCATTCAAACTGTGGATGATCTCCTGCTTGTCCAAATCCCAAAGTATGACTCCATTCATCACAGTACCCGCAGCAACATAAATCTTGTTTTGTGAAGCAAGAACACTGATGGATCCGCTATACAAGATCGATTTCTCACCACAATGAATTTTCGTTACCACGACCTCATCATCATCATCATCATCGCCAACATCTTCTCTTTGCTTCAGCAGTGATGTATTAGGAGCTATCTTGTACACGACGTTGTACGAGTTGAGTAAAAGAATAGTACCATCATGCAAAACTTCCGAAGTAATGATCCATTCGTTAATCGCTCTCTCTTTAGCTTGGTAATGTTGTGGCACTTGTGGTGGCGATGTCAATACTTCAAATGGGAGTACGGTGAATGATCGACCACCACTTGCAATAATTTTTCGAGCTTGTGTGTTGATTGAAATGTGATGGATTTTGTTTCTTTTGAATATCTGGCACTGGTAGACCAACTCGAGGCTGTTGTCCTGGTGGTCTTGGTCGGTTTTGTCGTTGCCAACTTGTCGATGTAATTTGTAAATCGTCATGATGGGTCCGTATCCGACAAAAATGTACAGTTGAAAGATTTTGATACACGTCACTGGGCCATAATGGAATAGCGGGGATAGCAGCCGAGTATGAGACTCATTACTGGTCAGATGTTGATTGACAGTGGTCATTGAAGATAACTATGTTCATCTCGTGTCTTGCACAATGGTTTTTGCAATTTTTCAGATTTTCCGAGATGCGATACACGCTACCCATTGGTGATTTGCAGTTAACACAACTGCTCTTACAGTTGATCAAAGAAGTCAAGACTTAACTTTATGACTCTATATCTTTAAAAATTCTATAAAAGTTTGCAAGTTAACCACTGTTGCTGAAAGAAAAAAAAAGAGGCGAAGGCAATCACTCTCACAATCAACCCTGTTGCTGCTGTTTCTCCTCCTGTTTCTCCTCCTGTTTCTTGACACCTTCTTCCAACTTCTTATTATCCTCCACTGCATTCTTCTTCTCCTCCTCCAACTTCTTCTTCTCTTCTTCAATTTTCTTCAATACTTCTTCAGTCACTCCCAATCTGGTTTGTTCCTCACCATAAGCCTTACAAAATTCCTTACTGGCATCAAGAACACATGTCATCAACTGCTGGTTGTTCACATACCCATCAACTTGTTCATTCACCTGCTTTGCCAACAACTCCTCCACTATACTCTTCAATCCGTAAATGTACAAAATGCTATTGTTGACGTCGCCTACACTCAAAGTCAACCCAAGCACATCTTGATTAGAGGTTTTATCGTACTCCCATGAGGAAACACCATTGGGGATCAACACGTTTGGATCACGAGATCCACATTGCACCTCAGGTTTCCGCCACCCAGGCACTGGGATATTGAACGAAATGGATGACGATAAATACAGCACTTGAAACTCGTCACTAGTATCCAGTTTTGTGAAAATGTAGAAGTTGGGTCTATACATTGACCGTCCACATCCACAATGTCTAATATGGGCACGAAGAAACCCAATCCACACATTCTTGTCCTTGTAAGCTGGGTCAATGGTTCCATATGGAATCATCTCCGTTCCACCACGAATGGGGCCTATAATACTTGAATTTTTCTTCTTTTTAGCCTTGTATACAAGACGACACTGACTTAGGTCTTCATTGTTGTCAAATTGCTGCAACTCACATTTCAAAACTTCCAAATCGCCCCATTTATAAATCAAATAAAGATACTTGTCACCAGGGGACTTGGGGTCTCGATCTTTAGGTATGACAAAGGGAGTCCAATTTTTCTCAGTGCCCTTTCTTGGTCGATCCAAGATCCTCAATTCTTTGACACGAGTGAACTTGACATCGTCAAACCGGGAATCCGAAATACCATCGGTGTTTATTTTCCCCAATTGGTACCTGAATGGATACCCCACAAACATGGCTCTGTGTGACTCGAAATTGATTCGCATGGCATTATCTCCATCAAGAGCAGTGTAGTTGTAAATGTTGCGTTGATGGGCATTAAATATAATGATTGGTTCCTCTTTTTGCATCTCATTCTCCACCAACATAATTCTGGTATCTTCAGGTCCGTACCATCTTCTCTTGGTGTATTCAGGATCAGAGTAGAATGGAATGGGCATGAACCGAGGAAATTGCAAGTTTTGGTTAACCCTTGTGACTCCATCAACATCCATCACCGGTACAACCAACTCAACATTCGTCAACTCTTGCCAATGTACATCATACACCTGAGCGTAAAGTAATGAGATTTGTGGATTCCACTTCAAACCACGACGAGAAAACAATACCCGTGACACCATTAAATGTACACCATACTCCTTGAGCCATACGGACGTACCGGCAAATTTGTAAAAATGTTTCCCAACTGTGTTTTTCTGCAACATGTCCGGGATTTTCCCTTGAAAGAACCCATCCAAATGCTTGAAGGCATCATCCAGTTTCAATTGTTCTTGAAGAATTTCAACCATTTTCTTGTCATCTGAGTCAAATATAAGATTGTCACTGATTGTCAAATTCAAAGATGTCAACGATTGAGAACACGCTTTGGAATTAGTGAATGAATTGAAAAGATGAATTGTATGTGGGGTGGTATTACGTTGAAAATGGTCCCCAGTTAATGCCGAGTTGTTACCTGAATAATTGATCACTTTTTTGCTACTATCGAGAGGATACAACTGCTTGTAAGTCGCTTCATCATTGAAGTTCTGTGGAAAGACTAGTAACTGTTGTGAATTGTGGTTATGAAGATGGGCTTGTGGTTGTGCTTTTAGAGATGTAGATGCTAATGCTGATGCTGGTGGTTTTGGTAGTATTGGTCCCTTTGACGCTGGTATTAGTCCTGACAAGGGAGAATTGGTGCCACTAGCTTGTAAAAGTAAATGTATGGGTAGTATTGCAAGTAAGAAGACGGCTGTAATGACTAAGTATCGACGCAGAACAGATCTAAGCCCTGGTAATCCCGGTTTTGCCATAGTAACGAATATCTTGATCTTATAGTGGAAGGTGGGCTAAAGCCAAGGAAAATTGAGTATGGGAGGTATATGCTGTGAGCACGGATAAAGGTCTCTTGATATCGATACGTAATGTCGAGTTTCCAATAAGTGAGTAGAACTAAGGAAATGTGAAGGAGGCAGAAGAATCAGAAGAATCAGAAGAAGAAGAAGAAAGTTGATATATTTGCTGCTGCTACCATCTCTGCACAAACAAAGAAAAAAAAAATAAACATAGAAGAACGGGTTATATGCAGGATGAGATAATGACGTATTATTTATAATAAAGAAGAACAGACACAGAAAAAATTGTAAATGAAATATCTCAAATACACTCTATCCAAAAAGTACTTGAAGTTTTAGACTTTCACGCAACATTGACAGCTACAGCTTTACCTAGTACATCCTCATTTCACCCTCGTCGAACGTATGCCACTAATAGCTAGCAATTGAATTGTGGACCTATGTTTCCAAGAAAAAAAAAGCAGTAACACTACAACTCTTGTAAAAAGCCTTCTACGGAGCCCACGTGGTGTCTCTCGTAATTTTTTTTTTTTCTCTTCTTCTTTTTCTTTTGCTTGTTGAATCTGTGTCGGTGTATATTGATTCTGTGTCTGCGTACCTGAGTTCTATATATACAGAACGCTACCTTGTGGCGCATTGCGTCTGTTCTGCAAACGTCATATGCTTAACAACGCTATCAAACCCAAACTGAGAAATTGCCACAATGCAACCCTTTTTCAAATGACTATAAAGTACTACAATGCACTTCAATAGTGCCAAACAGAAGCTTACTTTCACTCAAATAAATATAAACTTACTGCGTTTTTAAAATTTTATATCTATAATTAAGCTAATTGCACAAAGAAATTACATATTAAGAATCAAGGTTTATAGAAACCACCCACGCGAAGTGAAATAATGACGGGCGGAAATATTGACAAGCAAAAAGAAATGCATCTCCATTGTACGTTTCTCAACCAACAATGCATTCCCACAACTTCTCTATTCTTTATCTTGGTCTCCTTACATCTGTCTAAACTCATTGTGCTTTTTGTTCAGGTTTGTTTTCTGATTCCTTTGTTCTATCTTTTTGATCCTCATTTGGATGCTCATCTTGCTGAGTTGGTGGCTGTTGCTGCTGTTGTTGCTGTTGCTGTTGTTGTTGTTGTTGTTGCTGTTGTTGTTGTTGTTGTTGCTGTTGTTCAGCTTGTGGTGGTTGTGGTGGGTTTGCTTGTTCACCTTGCTGCTCATTTCCAGGAAGAGGTGGAAGTTTGGGTTCTTGCTGCTGTTGTTGGTCTGTATTTTGATTATCGGAGGACTGCTCCCCGTTTGATGGTTGGTTCTGCGTCTCACCACCAGATCCAGCATCAGTACCTTCGTTTCCGCCACTGGGCTTTACATTCTGCTTCTCTGCATCTTCCTTTGCTTTCGCATCCTCTTTGGCCTTTGCCGCTGCCTCTTCCTCTTCCTTAGCCTTTTGCCTTGCAGCCTCGGTCACACCCAACTTATCCTGCTCGATCCCATACTCTTTGCAAAATTGACTACTCTGATCAACAACACATGAAATCAATGGACTTTTTTCGGCAGCAGTACTCGTAGCCTCGCCCCAATTCAAATCCAACTCATCAACCATTTTCCTAATTCCAGAAACATGAACCAAATTGTCATTTTTATCAGCAACTGATAAGATCAAACTTAGGTAATCCTTTTTTGGTTCATACATTGATATACCATTAGGAATCAACACATTTGGATCTCTTCTAGCACATTGGATATCGGCATACTTCCATCCATCTACCGCCATGTTGAATGATATAGACGACGAAAGATGGGATAATTTGAATTGTCCATCCTTTTCTCCCAAAACTATGAAATTAGGTCTGTACATTGCTTTACCACATCCACATCTGTCAATATGAGCACGAAGAAACCCAATCCAAACTTGATCCAAGTTGGATTTGGCTTTGATAGGTATCAATTCTGTTCCTCCGCGAACTGGACCAACTTTTCCACCTTCATCTTTGTTTTGTGTATAAACAACTTGACACTTTGAGTCTTGCTCAGCATTGGCCAATTCACATTTCAAGATTTTCAAATTATCCCATTGATAAACAATATAAATATGTGCATCACCACCTTTCAAAACCAGTGATTTCCGCTCCAGTGGATTAATAAATGGAGTCCAGTTTTTCTCAACCTTTTTACGATCTTGTCCCTCAATTCGCAATTCAACAACTTTGTTGTATCTAGTTTTAGAAGCATGTCTGTCTTGACCCGCATCAACATTTGCTTTACCGCGTTGATACCTAAACAAGTATCCCATAAACATCAGTCGATGAAAAATATATATAGTAGGTTTCTTTTCTCCATTTTCTTCTTGTGCTTTCTTCAAGATTTGTCTATGGAAAGCATTGAATATGACTATTGGTTCTTCATCACCATACTCATTCTTGCTCAACAAGATACGCGTGTCTTCAGGACCATACCACCTCCTTTTGGTTTTCTTTGAATTATGATAAAATGGAATTGGCATGACACGTGGGAAATTGACACTTTCATATTTACGTTCCCCATCATCATCAATTATAGGCAAAACCAAATCAACATTGGTCAATTCTTGCCAATTTTCATCATAAACTTGTGCATAAAGCAATGAAATTTGTGGGTTTGCTTTTCTCGCCGTTTGTGTGAATAGTAAACGTGACACCATCAAATGGACGCCATACTTGGACAACCATACCGAGGTACCAGCAAATTTGTAAAAATGCTTTTCATTTAATGCATTTGTTTCAATGTATTTGCCAAGCTTACCTTTGAAAAACCCAGCTATCTCCTTTAAACTTTCATCACTTGTGATTTGGTTCAACAAAGTTTCAGCAATTAATTTCCAGTCTTGCTTCATCTCTGTACTCTTGGTAATTGAAACTTGTTTATCCAATAGCAAGTTGTCACAGGTTGCTTCTTTTGCATCTGCTCTTGTTTCCTCATCAAATATTGAGACCACGGGTGTTGAGGCAAACAAAGTTATGGGATGTGGTGAATATGTTTGATTAGTCACAGCCAAACTCAAAGCACTGCGGCTGCCTCGGTATTTGACGATTTCATTGTTGTTTTCAGTAATGTTGTGGTCGATTCTTAGACTAGTACTGTAATCAGATGGTAGAATGGTGATTGGTTTCAGGTTGTAGTTGGATATGCGTGACTCAGAAGTATCCCCAAGCCCAGCCACTTGAGTGGACCATTGTTTGACTGCGTCATACGTGTTGAGGAAATGAAGAAGAATTAATGTGATTAGCACAAATGGAATGGCCAAGTAACTTTTCCTAATTTGTCGTGGTTTGGGGAACAAGGGAAGGTACTTTTGGATCATTGCAAGTGGAAAGTAATCTATGGATTTGGTATGGTGGGTTGTATGCTATGTATGATTGGGTTGTAAAATTTGTTGTTGTTGTTGTGGTTGTTTGCTTATGAAAAATTGAATGCGATGGATGGATGGATTAAAGCCGTGTGTGCTTTTTTGCTTTGCGAAATTTTCTATTATCTCACCCCCTTAAAATCAAAAGCAAACAGAGGCTTTGTATGGTGTATAATAAGTGATGAATATAATCTATTGAGATTGTTTAGATGAAAAAAAGACGTATGATTCTGCAACAAGAAAGACAATTAGAGACTGAGACTGCAATGTTGAGATTTGAGATTTGAAAGAAAAGTGTCTTTTTTTTGTTACTAGTCTATTTTTAGACATTCTCTTCTTACAGTCTCTTTTTTTAGTGTCTGATGTATTTTTGTATTCTTCTCTTTTCTTTTTGTCTTTTTTTTTTTTGTGTGTCTGCAATTTTTTTTCTATGAGACAGACACAACACAGCCACAATCACAGCAAAAATTAAAGGTCAACACGTGTTTATCACGAGACTACGCTATTATCTATGCACAACAAATATGGGATAAGATAGTGTCTACACTCGATACAAAGACTCAAGCCACAAGCGAAATCTGATATGAAAGGGTGTACACACATACAGAATCTAATCTACAATGCACTTCCGCCCTTGCTCTTTTTAGCATCCAAGATTTGTTGCACTGAATCAATAACCGATTCACCAAGATCAATAAACTTGAATCCTAAAATCTCCTTCGTTTTCGAATTATCAACTGTGGCCAACTTTGTCTTGAGAACATCGTCAGCGGTGCCCGGTTCACCTTTAGGGAGATCCAATTGCGGGAATTTGGCATTGATCAAATCAACAATCGATTGCTCAGTGAAGCCTCCAGCAATCAAAAGCAATCTCTCATTTTGGGCCTTGGGGTTTTCAAACGCAACAATATGTGCTTTTGCCACATCACGCACATCGACCCAGCCACCTTTGAAAGGTGGAATTGAATCGCCTGGTTTCAACTTTAATATGGAATTGATCACCTCTGATGAAGTATTCAACTCATCCTTAACTTCAGACGTAAACAATTGGGGACCAAATGTAAAGCCCGGGTTAACTGTAGACAAATGGAATTTGGAATCATTTTGTTTGACGAAATCCCAAGCTGCTCTTTCTGCAAATGTCTTTGAGGCCCTGTATCCATTGATTGGATTTTTAACCGCTTCATCCCATGTGATTTCATTCCAATCCTTCTCAGTAAATACAACTTTGGTATCAGTGGTCTTTGCAGCAGTTGCAACAGCGGCAAAAGAAGATGTAATCACCACATTCTTGATGCTCTTGCCGTACTCTTGGATAGCTTTCAACGCATTCTTGGTTCCTTCCACTGCCGGCTCAAGCAACTCCTTTGCAACGTCGGTAGCTTTGAAATGGAAGGGAGAGGCAGTGTGTAAAAACACTGTGGCGTCTTGATTATTCTGCAATACTTGATCAAACGCACCTGGTTTACCAACATCTTCAACAACCTCATAGCTCAAAGCCGATGGCGAGTTGAACAATTTCAACAAGTGGTCACCTTTAGCTTGTGATCTAACGGTGGTGACAACCCTGTAGTTGTGGTTTAATAATTCTTGGAGAATGTGTTGAGCAATGAACCCAGTTCCTCCAGAAACGATAACTTTGGCAGTCATTTTTTGATATATAGTAGTTGTAGTTGGTTTTGTTTCACTTGAGTTTGATGGAAAGACCAAGAGTGAAACAAAAGTTGTAGTATGAACAAAAGTGTGTTGCTGTGGGTTGTTTCTCTCTTATATATATATATATATATCTGTAAATTTCGGAACATTTGTCAACTGTGGAGGAACCTCTCTATTTTCTTGGTTTTTTTTTTAGCGGCAATATTTCCTAAACGATCCAAGGGCTCCCCCCCCCCCGCCACAGTTGAAACCCCCAAAATGACTATTACCTTTACACTCACCAATACATCGTTTCACGAAGCGATACCCATTTACTCTCTAATTCAATCTATGTATGTCCTACTTTAGTAAGTCTCCTTTATTCACTACAAACGCTTCAATTACAGCCATAGCAGCATACAATCGATTCTCTGCCTCCTCAAACACAACTGAGTTTTTACTGTAAAACACATCATCAGCAACCTCTTCCTGATGTCTAGGCAAGCAATGCATAAAGATCCAATCAGAAGCAACTTGACTCTGTTTGATCAACTCACTATCAATCTGATACCCAGCAAACTGTTTCAACTTGGCAACTTTCTGCAGCTCCTCACCCATTGATATCCAAGTATCAGTAACCACAATATTTGCATCACGTAAAGCTTGTTTTGGATCATGGACAATTTCAAATTTGAGCCCCTGTTGAGAGGCAATCTTCCTTGCATCCTGCTCCACATCTTCATCAAATTTTATGGACTCGGGAATCGAAATCGATACATCAATCCCCATTTTCAAACTAGCAATAGCCAAATCATTGATCACATTGTTGGCATCGCCAACCCAGGCCAACTTCAACCCCTTTGTCGACTTACCTCCAAACGACTCCTTGATCGTTAACAAATCAGCAATGGCCTGCAAAGGGTGATACTTGTCACAAAGCGAATTTATAATAGGCACCGATGAATCTTTACACAAGCCCAAGATGTCCAGATGTTTATTAACTCGGGCGAATATGCACGATGTCATTGAGCTGATGACTTTTGTCGTGTCATACATTGACTCATTCACACCAAGTTGAATATCATCCTTACCTAGGAACATGGGTTGTGCTCCAAAAAAAGCCGCTGCTCCTTCAGTACTGATTCGTGTCCTGGTGGATCTTTTCGAAAAGAGTAATGCCACTAATTTACCCAACAATTTAGAGTGGCTCTCGGCTATGGCTGATGCTTGACCTGATTTGTAAACTTGTTTTAAATGCTGGGCTTTAGCCACAAGTGATGAGAATTCATCGTTGGTCAATTGAGAAATGTTGATTAAATGACGAGGAGACGATTTTAAAGTGGTGGTGGTTGTAGATAAAAGCCTCTTGGTGGTGACTGTTCTAACTGACATGATGAAGAAGATGACGTTTAAAGGTGATTGCTGTTTTTGTAAAAGAAAAGGGAATGTGAATTTATTCTCAAAAAATTGGGGCAATACTTAGATCTTTATATAAAAAAAATTTTTTTTTTTTTCCATTGTAGGGGTGTTGCCAAATTTGGTAAATGAGTCAAACAACTAAGCGCGCTAAAACATATACCAAATATCATTATGCAAATTGGTCAAAGTACACGTCTTTTTCGGTACTCATTCGCCGCCAATTTCACCAACTCAGATGCAAAAGTGCTCATTTATTCTACACAACTAGTATTTTATCTCCAACTAGCACCTAAAGTTGCCAGTTTTGCAACTTTTGTACCAAGACATCTCTTTCTTTTCTAATCTCCTCCTTCCGTTTCAACAAGTTTGCTCTATGCATCAGTTTCTGCAAATGTTTAGCCCGTTCCAACTTAATCAAATGCTCAATGCGTTTAATTTGCTCTTGAATAGTAGGAACGCGAATAGTAGTTGACTGTTTAGGCTTACCCCATTTATGTTGTACTCCATACCCATATCCAAAGTCATTATCAACTGGCTCAAAATTCGGTCCGAAATTACGACGATAACCACCATGATCATCTTCACTCACGGAAGAACCGTAATCACTGACAATCTCATCGTTGTACCTGTTTTCAAAATCAATCTTGCGTTTAAGCACGCCCATATCTTCATCACTCAACTCGTAGTCGTGAATCGTATCGCCACCAAGTGAGCCCGGTGCAAAGTCATATGGTCGTGGTTCTCGATTCGTAGACGATGCGGCACCATCATCGTAGTTCTTTGCATCGTTGTATTCAGATGCAATTTGATTGAGGTATTGCCGTTTGGATAATGTCGGCTCAGCATTGGACTGGATGGGAACATACGACCGTGGCAAATTGGGAGGTGGTGGGGGGCTGAAACTAGTTGATGGAGGTTCATAGCTTGCGGATCTGCCATTAGGTAATTTGATATCTGGATGTAATGATGCTTCCCTTTCACGAGAGAACATGTCTCTCAACTCATCAATATTGGCAATCACGGGGTTGTTTTCTGGGTCATCATCATCGTCACCAAGCTCGGGTAGTGTGGGTAAATCCAAATGTTGGCCAGCTGAGGGAGGTAGGAAGTTTGAGGGATCGTTGGCCTGTGCTGGCATGGCGGACTCTTTGTCGGCAGGGTTATCTTCCACGTCGTCGTTGTCAGCGTCGGCTATAATAGGGTCATTTTTAGATATGTTGATATCTGATTCCGGAACTGGCTTGCCCAGCGATTCAGCTGCTTGCCCTTTGGCACCTGTGCCCTCTACATCGAAGTCACCGTGCGGTTCTGCTTGCGCGGTCTCGTCATGTAGATTGACTTTATATTTGGACAAGTTTAAACGCCGTTTCAGTGATTCAGGCTGACCCCGTCGTTGAAATGTCCACAAAGGTTTAATTCTGATTTCATCTTCGTCCTCGTCCATCTCGTCGACCTCGTCCTTTTCAATTTCATCATCAATTAGAATTGCCTTTGCCTTTCTTGACGCCGACGTTTTTTCAAGCACCGTGTGATCCCTACTGGCCAGCAGTGATGGAGTGCACGCAGTTCCTAGTTCATCCACCTTGTTTTCGTTTATCTCATTCACAGATTCATCATCAACCGTGACAGTTGTTGTTGTCGTTCTTCTAGATGTTGCCGGGTCAGGATCAGTTACTTTCCGTTTGAATCTAGGTTTGAAAGTTGTATTCGGGGATGTCCTTCGTATGTCAGACACCACATCATATTCTGGCCCCTCTCCCTCCTCGGTACCAGTAACATTGTCGATTGCAACTTCAATGGTTTTGCGTGATGTCGATGTATCGGAATGTACCTGTTTCTTTTTAAATAAAGGCTTGATCTTTGGTTTTAGCTCTATGTCAAACGCATCTATCTCCTCCTCACTCATGTGTTCTTCCTGTATTGTTGCAGTTGAAATGGCAAGAGTATATTCTGGGTATTTTGTGAAACCAATACTCACAGACTATCCCTCTTCACTAACGAAAAAAAAAAAAAAAAAAAAGAAAGAAAAAATTAAAATAACAAAAAGATTGTTCCTGATAAACGATGAGGAAGAAGAGATCATCTCTGTAGAAATCACTCTCCAGATCTTCATTCAACACCACCACACCTGCGCAGAGTCATCTCTACATATAATAATGGTCATGGCGGAAGTGTCAGATAATGCAAAACTCCTCCATACCAAAATGCGGGAATCCCCCGCGTCAAAAACTTTTACACAACAAGAAGCATCCACCTTGGTTAATGTCACCAAGGAATCGGAGTTGATGCTCTTGCTTCAAGAATTGCTCAATTCCAACATGATCAAATTGAGCAAAACCGGTGACGAAATCCGGTTTCAGGCAGTTAGCGTTGACGATGCCAAGAAATTGGGCAGCATGAGTGATGATGAGCGGATGATTTATTCCTACATTGAAGCTAGTCAACGTGAGGGGATATGGACAAAGACTCTAAAAGCAAAGACTAATCTTCACCAGCATGTCGTGTCCAAGTGTTTGAAGAACTTGGAGCATCAGCGGTACATCAAATCGATCAAATCGGTGAAACATCCAACACGGAAAATATACATGTTGTATCATTTACAACCTAGTATTGATGTCACTGGTGGTCCGTGGTTTACTGATTCGGAATTGGACACGGAGTTCATCGATACGATATTGGAAATTGTATGGAGGTTTATTGTCAACAAGACGTTTCCCAGATCAGAACTGGAACAGTATCCAGTGAACCCGTTACAGGCATCGTATGTGGCATCGTTCCAAGGAGTTGATCTAGATCAGATCTTGGAGTTTATCAACCAGAGTGGTGTGAGTTCAGTCGAATTGGAGCTCAATGATATACGATCATTGTGTGATGTGTTGAAGTATGATGATAAAGTGGAAGAGGTTGATGAACATAGTGGGTTGTTCAAAGCAACGAGACAGAGTTTGTTGGAAAAGGGTTTAATGAGGAATTTGGAAGAGTTGAAAGGACAAATCCCAGAACTAACGAGAGAGTATCTTGTCAAGAACAAAGAGTATTCGATATTTGATTTCAAGACTCAAGTCGAGGATTTTCAAGATGAACAAGACTTTGTGAATCTAGATAGTTTTGTAAATGTATAGATAAAGAGAGGGAGAGAGAGAGAGAGAGAGAGGGAGATTACAAAACGAAACGCAATTGTATTAAGATATAAAACTCTATAACCATTCTAAAAGATACCATACTTTTGACATTTTTGGAAAAGATAAGCAACCACGGCATTTGGTTTAGCTTCATTCACTTCATTCTCATCAACTTTAGCAGCAAATCGTTGACCATCAGTGGTGATTTTGCGTTGTGATCCATTCAATGCCATAAATTGTTTATACAACCAATGAAGGATATGTTGATTCCACGTCAACTCGACATTCAACTCGCCGTCTTCATTATAGTAGAAATTCCTACTCTCGTAAGCAACAAGTGGTTTTTGCTCCAACTCCAGTTCATTTTCAACATCAGTATCGCTTTCTGCATCTTCATGGTTCTTGTACTTCACCATCAAGTCAGGATGATCGGAAATGACTCCGTATTCAACCAATTTCGCCAATTTCCCCACTTTAACAAGATACTCAAATTGGAACTTGTTATTGATTGTCCATGAATAAAGCTTTAGACTCTGAATCTGTAAAAGTGGGACAAACTTGGTGAGAAATTCAGTTGACCAAGTGGCGATATAAAGCAACGACACCCCAGTCAATTTAATCTTGACTCTATCCTTTGGTGTAGTTTCATCCAAATATAAATTGTAATTGATGTAATTGATTGAATCTCTCCAATTGAGACTAATGTGGAAAACATCAAACTGGTTATACCCAAACTCATTCACATTGTGGAATTTATCCTGGAAAAACTCATCTTGATTCAAATACTTCAAGAATGATAAATCCCACAAGCCAAATTGCAAGCGATGATACCACCACGATAAATCATTATGTACTTTTAACAAATCCTGAATCAAGTATTTGGTGATTTTAACCGGGTTGAATTTTTTGATATCCAATTGTAACTTGTGCTCATTGGATCCAGTTGAGTCAATATACCGTTTGAACCAATATAATACATCGACAAATGAAAGTAAAGGATATCCACCTTCTTTAGTCTTGAGATTCTTCAATATGGGGTCGTATGGAGTCTTTGTCACTTTGTAATTTGTTTCATTTCCCTCTTGATCAACAAATATTCGCTTGGTTGAGATATCATGAGATATTACAATGACATTATCTGAACTGAGCCATAAATCAGTTTCGATAATAGTAGCACCTGACTCAAAACATTTGCCAAATCCAAGCAACGTATTTTCAGTGTATGAGCTTTTGAACCCACGATGGCCAGCCACAACGGGCGAAGTAGCAGTGGTTGTGTTCATATAAGGAAGCACCAGCTGTGAGGATGATGACGTAGAAGCTGAAGGACTCGACAACGCCATTCTTTTGGGGAAGTTAATAATGGATTTAGTGAAGTAGGATGATTGTCATATACGAGAAAGAAATCTGACCATAATTTTTAAACAAAACCCAGGGACAGAAGGAAGTAGACAAAGGGAAGATATATATATATATATATGTATATGTATAGTATCAGTATAACTGCAAACTGTGGTGGCATTTAAAAGAAGAAGAAGAAGAAGAAGAAGATGGAACAAAAACAAAAGAAATTTTTTAAGCGAAAACGGAGCACGTGCCCCACACAAACACACACACACACACACACAGTCTCTCTCTTTCTGCGATACAACTTCTGACTAATGAACAGAGGCTAATACTCTTACTAATACTCTTACTAAAGCATCCCTAAATATAAGCTTCATTTGGTTACAGTGTTTCGGTGTTTATCGCGCATAACCTTTTACAACCGAGTATGCCCGTCCATTTTTTTTTGCATTGAAGTTGAGAGGAGAGAGGAGGAGAGAGGAGGAGGGAGGGGGGGTGTACATATGTCTAAAACACACCTTATACGGCAATTTGACTTTTGTGTAACTGTCCCTTCCGAATATTATACCGACAGGAATTGCATTTTGTGCAGAAAAAAACAAAAAAAAAAAAAAAGGGTGTTGAGCTCTAGATTTGCAGTACTTGGTTGTTATTGGTATAATCGGTAATGGTATACCTGGTCGGTGGTATTGTTAATAGCGTAGGGGGAGGTTGTTGTTTGCAAGTAGTATGATTTATGATTTGCAACTTCTCTTAGGGGCCCAAGTGTGCATGGTTGCGAATTTATTCTCGGTGATGGTAACCCCACAATTTTCTTACGGTGGGCACTGTACCCTCTACTTTAGCTACTTCCAAGTTTGATAAATAAATACTTGAGCAGTTGGAATCTAAACATGTCTATTTCTATCTCGAAGTGTAGCTTCACAGGTGTCAACAATACAACTTCTAAAAATAAATAACATCAACTTACAACTTATACTCCTCTTTATTCTGATCTTCTTCATAATCAACACACATTTTGATCAAATTGTACGCAATCGATTGTCCCATAGGCACCATGATTCCCTCCGGGTTGAAATCTCTATCCGCCTCACTGACACGTTCAGGATATATCAAGCTACGTACAAACGAAGTATCAAACCATCTAGCATCCAACAATTCGTTATCATGACCCAAATGTATCAACTCATTAGACCCATTAAAGTCGACAATTCCAATACATCCAATCATCAAATTCAGAGGGAATGGCCATGGTTGGGTCATTACAACATTAACTTCATCACAAGTGACTCCCGTCTCTTCCCAAATCTCTCTTTTGGTGGCTACCTCCACCGTTTCACTAGGTTCCATGAAACCGGCAGTACAGGAGTACATTTTGGATGAAAAGTGTCTTTTCCCCAATGAGAGCAAGATCTTGGATCTTTCCCTATTGGTGATTATTGATATTACCGCCATGTCAGTCCTCGGGAATGATACATTTGACACTGGCGCGCTCTTCACAGGGCAAACAGATTTTGCATCCGGTTTCTCACTGGAAGCATTAGTGGCTGAAGTGGCTGAAGTGGCAGCAATGGTAGCATCGTGACTGTTGGATCTAGAGCTGGTGACAGTCTCTTCATTTGTACAATACAATTTACCACCGGCATGGATAGGTATTGTTGGATGACCACATCCAGGACAAAACTTGTTAGTACCCAACCAGTGGAAAAACATTGCTCCCTGACTAAACAAACTAGCTTCTTTCGGTTCAAAGGTTAGGAAATGTTTTCTGGAGTGAGTGAAAAACACACCATTCTCCTCGGGAGTTTTATCAGTGTCAAACTTTTGATTAAGTGTATCATTAACAAAATGAACGACATTACGACACAATTCTTTATTTCCAGATACATCAACAGCATAGTATGCAATACCTTGATACCGACCTTGATGATCCAAGTATTTTTCATCCCCATTCAATTCACAATCCACTTTTAATGAATTGATATCTAACCCCACCGATTCATCAAGTAACCCCATAAATAAAAACGTGGGTTTGCCACCACTTCGCAAGCCCTTGTCCATATTCTTATTATCTTCATTCCAAGTGTGCAAGATATCCTTCCATTCAGGTAAATGGCTCATTAATCCCCTGGCAAGAAATTGTAGATTGCCAATGTATCCAATGTTATCTGGTTGGCCCGGCTCAATCTGGTCAACACAAATCTGATTATCACCATTTGTCATAATCGTCAACATATTGGAAAAGTTTTTGTGAACCAATGGATTCTGCTTGTTGAAAAAGATGAATCGAGTTGATGGATGGAAAAGGGATTTGGAAATGAACTCGGTGTCTTCTCTAAGAAATGAGACTCTGTTGAGTACTTCGTTACCGTAGTACATATCCTTTTGCAAATCTTTGATGGTGGTGCTTAATGATTGAGACATGATGCGGAACGGTGAGGGCAATCTTACCATGCAATGAATAAAAATTGAAAAGACAGTGTTTGTTAAAACAATGGTGGTTGTGTGTTACTCCGGCTGAGTTTCATGCAGATTCAAGACCTGTAACCTGTTGTTATAAGATTCACTTGATATTATTGACCAGAATGGCTTTTTGTTGGAAAAAAATATTTGATGGGTGTTGTATATATCTATCTACCTATATCTTTCTTATCTTTCTTTAGTAATGTAAGATTTTGCTGAAAAAAAAAAAAATAAAAAATAAAACAATTCCTCTTGGGGTGAAATTTGCGACAGAGCAAAACCCCACACACACACATAACACATAACACAGAGTGAACAC